CCCCCCCGTTTTATGGTACTTTTCCTGAGAGCTTATCTAAATTTATTAACAATCCCTATGTCACTGCAAGTGAAACACAAGGAATTCCACTAGTTTTTCATATACACAGTGATCTCCCCTTGTTTTTATTTGGGATATAACTGTAGGACTGGTCCAGGGAACTAGCACTGATCAGGCAGTGCGGTTGGTAAGAGCGACCATATTTTAAGGTCCAGAGTTCGAATCCTACTCTGGCCAAGATGCAGATTTGTTTTGTTTATTTCATCTTTGCTAGTATTTTTATTCCAGCAAAGTTCGAAAAGGTATGGATTTCTTTTCAGAATTGATTTGATAAAGTTAAATAATGTGTTGCTAGTGAAAAAGGTTTTAATTCATAGCTACAATTTTTGGCAGTAGTACAGGGATCCTTTATGCACAGGAATAGATTTAAAGAACCCATCCAAAAAAGTGACATCAAATTAATGAATCTTCAATAGGTGCAAAGCATACCTGTATTAAGCCATGTTCTGGGAGTTGTGATGACTGAAAGTGATCCTTTAACAGGGACTGTGAAAAGCTGGTGTGCATTTTAAAACCTTCGGCCTCATTGACCTTGTCTCCACAGAGACGGTACAAGTCTGTAACAAGGAAATTTCATGGACGATGTAAACACACACAAACTTAGGTTTTCAAAATAAAAGGTTTTTTATTCTTACTACTCAGCACATTAATTTAATTAATACACTAAATCTGAGAAACACGGTGAATCTTTTCACAGTCAAAAAGCAAAATACATTCATTTTTCATAACTAAATATGCTTTCTATACAGTGTGTTGGGTAGTAGGACCATTCCAAACTCTTATACAGAGATTAGAAAACAGGTGCAACTTAATTTTCTGTGACACATGTAGCTTACCTTTGAGGAGGGAGGACGCCCAAAGCTGGACGTGAACATCAGGTATCTTTCCTGCGAGCTGCATGGCTGGTGTGACCATATTTAGAGCTTCCTGTAAACAAACAGTTATCAAGTGAGTAAGCCAAACATAAAATTTCTGAAGGCTGAAATTAGACCCTGGCACAAGCTCACCAACCTTTCGGACCAGGCCTACTGAAAATGTTTAACACTCTTTGTTGTGTGATTATGGATAATTTTAGATTATAAAGGCATCATAAAGCGCTTTAGAGTGGCTTATGTTAGCTAGATGGAGCGCTATATCAAATGTTGTATATTATTATTATTATCATAAAGGATAAGACATTGAGACTGGGGTACACCATGATAACCCTTACAATAGTTGCAGGTAAAACTACACGAGAGCACACAGCTTACCAGACCTGTGTAGCTCAGTAGTGAGGACTTACAGTGTTGTTGCCTAGAGACAGAAATATATGCCCAAGCAGCACCAGGGAACATGATGTCAGCCGGTTCAGGTCCTCGGCATTTGCCATTTTAAGAGTTTCTCTGAGGTAGCGCCTGTATTAGAAAACATTTTATTTAAATTATTTGCATAATTTAATCTTGCTAACATAACCTTTTACTTGCCTTTATTAAGATTCATTAATAGACAAGTACCAGTAATAGTGTTGCTGGGTTAACACATTTTTTAAATGTTTTATTTTTGCAAATATATCTCAATCAGAGAGACTCAACTACACAGGATATACAGGAAAGACCAGGTATAAGATAGAAACTCTTAACACATGTCTATTGTCTAATACCCATAATTTGACAACGTAGACTATGATCGCTTAGCCTTAAGACTAACAACATATACTGTACTCACTTAGCCTTACAATTTGACACGGGGCTAACAACATATACTGTACTCACTTAGCCTTACAATTTGACACACAGCTAACAACATATACAGTACTCACTTAGCCTTACAATTTGACACGCGGCTAACAACATATACTGTACTCACTTAGCCTTACAATTTGACACGTGGCTAGCAACATATACAGTACTCACTTGGCCTCGCTGTACCGAGCTTGGAAGAAAGCCTGGAGACCACGCACATAAAATGAGGATGCTTTCAAACTATGGGAGCTGTAACAAATAGATTAAAATATCCGTCTCACTAAATTTTCCTATGAAGCTGGTCCTATAACTTAAATGTTAACAATGCTAAATTACTGTAAATTATTATGTTTAGTCTTAAAATGTTAGTGATTTTTTTCTCACTGTTTCTAAGATGCTTTTTGGTCTGGACAGTGATATCCTAATAAGTCTTCTAAATTTAGGAAGTTTCCCATAACATTTTATCAAAACAGCACTTTTTTTAAACAGATTTGTTTGCATTACACTGTTACCCCAGGTTTATCAATAGTTAATGAATAAGCCTCTTTAGATATTTTTGTAACATATGTGAGTAACTTACTGAGTTGACAATTTCTCTGGTTCAAGTTTTTCAAGGATGCTGACCAGTTCTCCTTGTCGGTTTGTTCTCAGGTAAACTATTGCTAAATTGAGGTGAACAAAAGATTCCAACTCCATTGCTTTTGAAAACTGTAAAAGATGAACATGATAAATAAAAGTTAAACTCCCGTTACTGCTCTGCTGGGAAACTTTTAGGTACGAAGACAGGTAAACCTTTCTATTTTCCATATTTGGAATTATTATTTAATCCTTTCACCACTGTAAACCAAAGTGGACACATCCAGATCAATGCATGGTAGAGTCTACTAAAGTTACATCGGGATGAAAGGGTTAACTAGGTTTTAAGGTCCAGCACATTATACGTGCATTGAAATTAGGCAAAGAAATCTTGCATGGTAGACAACAAATTCTAATGTAGGTTAGAGGATTTTTTATAGTTTTTTTGCTTTATGGAAATATCAGTTGTTAATTATATAAGTAGATAATAAAACTATGTTTTGCAGTATTTGTTTAAAGATGATATACCTTAACGGCAGTTTTGAACTGTGCCTCGGCAGCCTCCATACAGTTCATGGACATGGCATATAATCCCTGAAAAAGAATGTAAAATTAACAGTAACAGATAATGCTAATACTTCAGTGTTTGGCAGTGCAGTGAAGTTGCTAAGTGTAACAACAGTCAACAAAGGAGGCATATCAATACTCAGAAAGCAGAATTTATTGAATACATTATTAATGTTCTTTCAAATGTCTATTTCCATTCTACATGCATGTTGGCTAACTTCCCTTTCACTTATTAAGTAGGAAAATATACAAGTGCAAAAATAAACTGACACACTATAAATTACACTGAAACAGTATTATAACATAAATATATTTTATACTGCAACACTGAATAAGACAAAGGTACTTTAAATGGGTGAGCTGAAAATCTTAAAAAGTTAATATCAATACCACAATGAAGTGAAAAGATTTAAAAAGATGACTTATATTTTCGTAATTCTCATATTACAAGTTGCTAGCTGTAATGGCACTTACATTTTTGACAACAAGAAAATAAATCACTGGTTTACACAATTGACTTACCAGCAGTGTATGAATCTGTGCAGAGTGTGTGCTAAAAAGTCGAGGCTGCTGCTGACACACATGGCATGCTTGGAAAATCTGTGGGAAAAGTACACAACATTTTGACTTCAGTTATACACAAATTTGCTTTTCACACTTTTATTTTAAAAGATCATTGTCACTGTAAGCTACCAAGGATTTCACATATAGTTTTAAGTTTTTTCTTTTTGTTAGATTTGTTTGGTACTACATGTTCATGCTTTTGCCATACTTTTCGTCAGTCTCTACTTAATCATCCTGTGCCTGCTGTTCCTTCAGACCTACTTGCCAGCAGAAAATACCTGTTCATATTATCACAGAGAAGTCTGCTAAACTGAGATTTGTTGCCATGCTGATCAATGTGTGCAATGTCAAGAAAACATCATCATCAAAATGTTACACAGAGTATGTGTGTATTGAGAATAAGCATTGTTGATAAATCCATTTCAGCTTGGATGGGTTAGAAATATAAGTGAACGTTTTCATTTTTATAGATATTAAAATAGGAAAAGAGGAACACAGTTATTTTGATCAATTTTGAAGGTGGTCCGGACTCTACTCACTTCCTGGATAGCCATGGTTTTGTTGCCCATTATCAGTCGACACATAATGATGTGCTCCAGCAGCATCAGCTGGAACTGTGACAAAAGTGGATGGGCATCCAACACTGGAAGTAAATTTAACTACTAGTATTGGTAACTGCTCAGCAATTTAAAATCGAGGAAAACAAAAACGTTTCCAAAGCGGCTGACTGATCAAAGTTCAATTAAAATCATAGTTACAATTCAGTTAAAAGTGACAACAAAAACGTGTCTTATTACATTTAGTTATTTAAAAGTTACCTTACTTACTTTTTAATTTTTCTATTTGCATAAGAGCTTTGTCTGTGTATTTTTGTGCCTTGTCCATGTATCCTGCCTGCATGGAGTGCATTACTGTCACCTGTGGGAGGCAAACAAATCAATCTTACCATCATTTCATTCAAATCAACTTGTTCAACATATCTTCATTATTTGCATTACTGCATTCAACTGGAAAAGCTGTGTCAATAGTAGCAATAAGATATTTCACAATATGTGAGGGGACACAATTCTTTATAACGTTCCTCTTTGCCAAAATATTGCTAGAATTCTGAGCTTGGCAGTCATAAGTTGGCACTATTTACAGCCATTATAAATTGTACACTAAATTGCTTACATTTAGATTGGTAACATTCACGATATGGAACTTTGTGATAACAGTGTTAATTGTTCCTGGTTTTCTTTAATACTTTTTCAACATGTATGTTTCTATAACTCACTGTTATCACTGTCTCTATAAAAGACTGTCATTGTTTCTCTAAGTGACAAAGCACATGTTTCTCTCACTGTCAAGGTCAATAACAAAAGTCTGAAATAAAAACTTTGGAAGGGATGTGAACTATGCCCTGCAAGGAGTAATTTCAAGACTGGCATTACCTACTTTTTTCACGTCCTCATGTCCTAAACGACCTTAGCTGTTGATAGGATGTTAAACCCTATACAACTGACTTAGTTCCATTATGTATTGCACTAGGATTCTATATTTAGGATATCTTGGGTACTTACCAAGTATACCAGTACACACATGTGTTCAATAGGGAGCCAATGAAACATGTCTACTTGGTTACTGGAGGTGTGTTCTGTAAACAGGGCCAGAAAACATGTAATATTACAAATACAGATCAACATAATCCACAGATAACACCAGTGACATCTGTTAGCATTATTTCCTTAAAATACAAAACAATGGAATATTTATCTCTGAAAACTAACCGGTATCAATTAATTCATTCTTGTGTATATTTCAAATGCGTCTAAAAATTCATCAACAACACCTTTAACAGGTTTCTTAATGTAGAGCTCTTCTGGAGAGAAGCTGCCCATTACAGAAAGATAGCGTATACAACTTCTTACAGAATATATTACAGGCCGAAACATGTCACCACTGTGGATAGAGTAAAGGAATTAACATTTCGAACAAGATCCAGTGGTGTTGTTGCTATCCCTTCTTTTTGAGTTTTGTTGTTTTGACAGTATATTACAGTTGATTTACACATCTGCAATTGTTTTTTACTACAGCAATTTAACATTTTCTAGTCGTCCTCCATTAACATCAACATCTATAATTATAAGGACACTCGACAGTTGAGTAAAGGAGGAAGAGCTCCTCTACCAATCCAAGAGACTTTTAAATGAGCTCCTACCTTCATCTGTGTGTAACTGTGTTATGGTCTGTATAATTTGCTGAAGATTTTTTAGGGCTGGTTTCACACTCTTTACCTGAAATGGTATTTAGGGGAAATTCAGCTTTCACCAATAAATATTGTATTACATGAGAAATGTTTACAGAAAATTTATCATTTTCTGCAACAAAAAATATAACAGGCATAAACAGTTTCATTGTCTGACAGTGTATTTTGTTGATGAATGGGAAAGACATGCACATGTTCATCGCTAATATTGATAATTTTACATATATTTTGTAAATCTGAACAAGTGGTTATTACTTGAATTGTTATGTTCAACAATGAATAATTCTTCAAACTGGTTTGCATTCCCTGATGGCTAAATGCTCAAAATAATGACAAAGGACAGTAGAAAACTCAGACAACATGAAACAATTCTGATTTAAAGATAAGCTAAGCTATAGTTTACCTGGCCAGCCATGAGATAATGACACACTTGTAGGACGAGGAAAAAAACCTTTAGTGACTCTTTTTGAACAGGCGGACCATTGTATGTTTCTATCATTTGACCGGCAGTACTAAGAGTGGTGTGGACATCTGCTGTCTTTTTGTCTATCAGGTACAGCTACAGGTAAATCACAGAATATCAAATACAGCAACAGGTACATCATATCATTACATACAGTTACAGGTAAATCACAGATTGTTAAATACAGCAACAAGTACATCAGATCGGGATAGGCAAATTACAAATGTACAATTATTTTAATACAACAGCAATTAAAACTTTTCTAATTTGTGTCAGTACAGGTAGATCACTGATAAAACAGCAAAGTTAAAAATCCCAAAAGAACTTATTTTCTATCAGAAAGTTTTAATACATGTACTATTATTTGTGTCGATTTGATACAATTATATTCTAATATTACTGCCACAACAATTATTTACCTGTAAATCTGTGATTTACCTAAATTACCCTGATAAACTAACTAAACATCAAAATGTTGTGCAACTCTGACTTACCATGCCTTTGCTGAGAACAAAAAGGAGTTTTGTATATTCTGAATGAGCTGTAGCTGAGAACTCGGCACCTGCTGATAGTAACTGACATGCTGTCACAAAATCCTTTTCTATTGAATGGATTTGCTGAAAATGAAATAAGACACATCTAAAACTGATCATGACCTTAGAACTGATAAAATTAGTTACATTTGTTTTGGGTTTTATATCTTAACAATTGCTCAGGCCATATGATGATGGTTGGAAGTTATATACAAATGTGATAATACCAATCTGAGTCACATGTATAATATAAGATGTATACACCAAATTCTAATCTCAGGTCATTCAGGTTTTTGAAAATAACTTCATGACAAACTTTTAGTTTGAAAATTATTATATAGACCCTACTAAATGTATCAACAATGTGTTACAGTCAGTCTGCCTCAGAATAATGTCACCTAGTAATTTCATTTCTTATTAAATTATAGATACTTCAACTCAAACTCAGCATCCGACAGACTACAAATAATCAAGCTACATGTGGTCTCGTACATAGTGACATGAAAATGTGGAAAAATACATCCAGTGAATGGAATGTTTTGTGTTCCTACTTGTGATGATTCTGATAAATGAAAAGAATGATCTGTTTTCTTTTTTACAGTATCAACAGAATTACTTCTTTACAGTCAAATACGAACAGTTCCAATTTGAAATCTGTAATTATTTCTGTCATACTGCTAGTGTTATTGAGGACCAAAGAATAATGTATGGGTCAAGGTTTCAAACCACAACATATAACAAGAGGCCCAGAGGGCCCGTATCGCTCACCTGAATACGTTTAAAATAATTGGTATGAAGTAAATATATAGCACTCCATGGTAGGTGCTGTAAATATATAGCACTCCATCATAGGTAGGGGGGAAAGAGTCATACCCATCAATTATATAAAATTGAGACCCCTTGGCCCAAGGATGCTCCAGACTAAATAAGGATACAATCCCTTAATCCTGATGGTCGAAGAAGGATTTTACCTCTATTTCTCCTATTAGGCCCTGTCCTTCTGCCCCCTGGGAGACCACACCCACTGCTTATACAAAATTGAATTCCCTTGGCCCAGGGATGCTCCAGACTAAACTAGAATAAAATCCCTTAATCCCTATGGTAGAAGAAGGATTTTAAAGGTTTTACCTCTATTTTCCCTATTGGGCCCCGACCCTCAGGTCCCAGGGGGGCCACACCCACTGTTTATACAAAATTGGTTCCCCTTTACCCAAAGATGCTCCACACCAAATATGGACCAAATCCTTTCATTCCTACAGAATACGAAGGATTTTAAAGAATATGCTATATTTCTCCTATCGGGCCCCGCCCCTCAGGTCCCAGGGGGGCCACACCTACTGTTTATACAAAACTGGTTCCCCTTTACCAAAAGATGTTCAACACCAAATATGGACCAAATCCTTTCATTCCTACAGAATACGAAGGATTTTAAAGTATAATTTGCTATGTTTCCCCTATTTGGCCCTGCCTCTCAGCCCCTAGGGGGGCCAGACCCACCAATTAAACAAAATTGTTTCCCCTTCACCCAAGAATGCTTCAGACCCAATATGGACCAAATCCTTTCATTCCTACATAAAAAGAAGGATTTTAAAGAATTTGCTATGTTTCCCCTATTGGGCCCTGCCCCTCAGGTCCCAGGGGGGCCAGATCCACGGTTTATACAAAACTGGTTCCCCTTCACACAAGGACGCTTCAGACCAAATATGGAACAAATCCTTTCATTCCTACGGTAGAAGAAGGATTTTAAAGGTTTTACCTCTATTTCCCCTATTTGGCCCCACCATGCCCGCCCCTCTGCCCCCAGGGGGGCCAAAAAAATGAGTCCCCTTGGCCTAAGGATGCTCCAGACCAAATTTAGTCAAAATCTACTTGGCCGTTCAGGACTAGTAGCGTTTTAAAGGAAAAGTTGACGGACGGACGACGGACGCTGCGGTATGGCATAAGCTCACCATGGTCCTTTGGACCAGGTGAGCTAAAAAGTATTTGCATTTCGGTACACATTAAAGTAAGGACTAGTTACTTACCGCCAGCTGAAAAAGAAGTCTACAATGCCAATACGGTGCCTGTTGGGATATTTCGACTGCTTTCACCAGGATCTGTCTCGCATGCTGTAGTTGATTCTGAAGAAAAAAGTTTTTATCTCGATCCTTGAAGCTTTGAAAGTTTTTACTACCAAGAGATTGATGCATAAATTGGAGTACATGTACTTGTTTTTTAAAATTAAACAAACAAATAATAAATTTAGACTCCGTGCAAGATTTGAATTTTGAGAGTCAAAACATGACAAATAGACTTGTCCTTTAAAACAAAGTTCAATGCTCCTATTGAGGAAGCAAATACTTTCAAGGGTTTACTGAGTGCTATTCAAAATAATTTTGATTACAAACTGTGGAGCATGTATCTAAACAGATCATCTTACCTGATCCTGGAACATCTGTGCCAATACACATGCAGCTTCGAACTTGACATCGTCACTCGCTGGCATCTTGAATTATGTTAAGGAACAGATTTGTTTGACCTACTCTGATAAAATATTTTATTGAGAGAAAAATTGCTCACATCAGTAGCATCCAGATAATAGTTTCATTTATGAAACTACATGTATAATACAAGTTTTTGGCTCAAGTTTGACTAACTAGTAACTACATGTATTAAAGTTTTCCTATCTAACAAATTAAACAAAGAGGCCCAGAGGGCCTGTATAGCTCACCTGAATATTTAAGCAGTCATAGCAAATATTCTCCTTAAATATATTATATTGTACTACAAATTTGTCACTCGCAAACTTTGTCAGCTCCATCTGTTGAAACTACCAGTCAAATATTATTATAAGATTTTATGCTTTTTGGCCATCGTTCTTCTTCAAATATTAAAATTTTATGCCTTTCGATTTTTCAGAAGAAGTCGCTCGATGTTTTTGACATATTTGACACCTGTGACCTTGAAGAAGGTCAAAGTCAATTTCATTCTCAAACTTTGTCTGGCTCTTTCCCAGGAAGCCACCAGCCAAATATTAAGGTTATATACCTTTTAGTTCTTCAGAAGTAGTCGTTTGAAGCGTTTGACATATTTTTCCCCACTGACCTTTATAGGAGGTCAAGGTAATTTTCATTCTCAAACTTTGTCAGGCTCTATATCCCAGGAATCCATCAGCCAAATAAAAAGATTCTATACCTTTTGGTTCTTCAGGAGAAGTCGTTTGAAGTGTTTGACATATTTGACCCCTGTGACCTTGAAATCAGGTCAAGGTCATTTTCACAAACTTTGTTGGGCTCCGACCGAGGAAGCTTTCAGCCAAATATCATGACTCTAGGCCAGTCCGTTCTTCAGAAGAAGTTGTTTAAAGGAAAAGTTGACGGACGACAGACACCGCCCCATCACATAAGCTCACTTGCCCTTCAGGCAGGTGAGCTAATAAAATCAGCTTTAAAATGCCTTTGGTCAGTCTTTACTTCATCCAATAGTTTTCACAATTTTGGGGTCTGGAACATTGATTTAGTTTTTGAAAGTATTTAATTTCATAATCCAACATAATTGTATTGTATATATAATTTCTAAGGGATAAAAAAAAAAGGCAATTTAAAACTGAAGGAAATCAGATATGATTGATACTACATCCACTACTGCAACAATAAATGAAATTTCTGTTCTGGTAGAAAATTTCCTAAGAAAGGAAGAGTTATGTCCCTTTGACTATTTTTTATGTTCATTCTAGAGATTTGTGTGTTTATTACTAGGTATATTGCAATGGTTTTTTTTGGCTTTACTGTAACCATGTCAGTATCATATTTTTTTTTTCTAGTGATATAGTTTTTATATTTTACACTCCTTCATTATTAATGTCAATCTCACAATTACATACACCTACATTTAGTAGAATTATTTGTTTACCAACAAGGGTTAAAAAACAGCTGAGATGAAAGATAAAAATATTGCTAATTAAGGTTAGTAATGTTTATTCTTTGATACCCTTAAAATAAATAGAATAATCAAATATAAATTATATTATGATAACATGCATACAAAAGTAACTTTACTATTAGAATTAAAGTAATAGACAAAACAAGAGATCCCAGAGGGATCTTGGCGCCTACCATTGTGTCATCTTCATTAGTTCTGTCAGTTCGATCTTTTCTCTTCTTTTCTCCATAATTTATCGAGTCATGTAACCAGTAAATGCACCTTTGATCTAAACTTAATACTGCTGTGTATAAAAGACAACCATCAAAGTGAGTTTGTCATTTCACATATTTACTAGAACAGTACTTAATGTGAAAGAAATAGAATTGTTCATTGCAATATGAGAAAGATCTGTTTAGTTCCACCGTTAGCCATTTTGTTCACTTAATATAACATGCACAACGAGGTATCAAGGGGAACCTACATATCAAGTTTGAGAAAGATCCCTCAAGTTAATCCTGAGAAATCGTACCAACAAAATGTCAAAAATTGAAGATGGTTGTCAGCTGGTAATTTTGTTTATCTGATCAGTTTCAAAAGTGAACATGAACAATAAAGGATAGTTGGGAACCTCCATATAGAATTTAAGAAAGAACCTTCCAGTACTTCCTGGGAAATAGCACTAACAAACCTCAACTGTCAAAATCAAAGATTTGTTCATCCGATCAGTCTCATAAGAAAATATGCATAACTTCATACCAAGGGAAACCTACATAATTTTTTTAAGAAAGATCTCTCCAGTACTTCCTGAGTAACAGCCATAACAAACCTTCACTGTCAAAATCCAAGACGGCTGCCTGTCTGCCATTTTTCTTTTATCTGATCAGTCTCAAAGGTAAATATGCACATCTAAGGACCTTACATATAAGATTTGAGAAAGATCTCTCCACTACTTATTGAGAAACGGCGATAACAAACATTCACTTTAAAAATTCAAGATTGCTGCCTGGCGGCCATTTTATCTGATCAGTCTCAAAAGTTAACCTGTACAACGACATACCTAGGTAAGCCTACATATAAAATTTGAGAAAGATCCCTTTAGTACTTCCTGAGAAATAGTGATAACAAACCTTCCCTATCAAAATCCAAGATGGTGGCCTGTCGGCCATTTTGTTTATCCGATCAGTCTCAAAAGTTGCCCTGCACAAATAAGGACCAAGGGGAACCTACAGTACAGTATTTTAGAAAGATCCCTTTGGTACTTCCTGAGAAATAGCGATCACAAGAATTGTTTAAGGATGGACGACGGACGAACCACGGACACAGATGAAGGTGGGCTAAAAATAAAAGAATAATAGCAAGTTGTGGTCTTAACATAATTTTAGTAATGAAGATGAAATTATGTTTGTTGCATTAATCTCCAATTTCAAGAATTCAAGAAAAAGAAGTTAAGTTACACGACAATTGAATGATGTCTACCTAGTATTTTTTATGTTGAATGTTATTTATATTGTACCCATTATTCTCGTCTGATAAAAGGTTTCAAATAAGCTTAATACACATTGAATATATCTTCCAGATATCGTGATACATACTGTATCATGACCCAAATATTGTGATACGTATTGTAATTCGTATCGCAGCATTACTCACGATACACACCCCTAATGTGTGTTTGTGTTGTTTTAGATCTGCTTCACTACCGATTTGTTTGGTTATCCAGCAGACAGTGTGTGCTGTACAGACTAGAAAGAAATGATATGGTCCAGTATATGGATCCTGACAGGAGTTACTGTGTTCCTGTCACCAATTAACAAAGAAAACTTTCTGTGTGTCTTTCTTATTTTTTTTAGATCGGGCACATTAACTTATAAGTAAAATCGTCATCTGTGTAATCTTAAGTCATGTGTAATGGTTGAAATAAGTAATCACTACCTTTGACCGGAAAAATCTGAAATCATGTTAGGTTACTTCCCCTTGACCAAATAATATCAGAACGAACATAAATACTTCCCCAATTTTTCGCTTTATTTACACCAGTTTCTCTGACTTTTTTTCTGCTTTCAACACAAATACCAACACAATTGTGTGAGCCATTGATAATCTCAGGTTAACGGCCGCTATGTGAAGTCAAGCGGTCAGCTGTTGACAATAAGGACGACTGTGTTCATTGTTGCATCAATTTCAAAAAGGATACAGAAACAGACAGCGTCCACTGCAAGTAGAGACAGAAAACAATCATGTAATGCAAGTAACATTCAGTTAACTGATATATCATTATTTCAGTCATTAAAGCTAAAGCGAATACCAATGTCATCCAAAGTTATGGTTATACTTACTGCTTGTTCTAAATGCGTTCTGGCCAAGTCGGTGTTTTTTGTATGGGCTAACAAAATATTACCGAGTTGAAGGTGTGTTCTGGCTTCGATTTTGGGTGGCGGTTTGAAGTTGAACATGGACTGAAGGCAATGGATACAAAGTCTAATATTTGGAGGGTTTGATGTCCTAAATGTCTCTGCTAATCCTAGTAATGAGGCATACCATGGATCATACACAGTCGATCCGGTCGCCATTTTGATCAGTTCCCGCTGCCAATCCGCGAAGATGATAATTCCGCACAAAATGTTTACATTTAGTTTAAAAATTGTGAATGTCATCCTTTTAATAAAAACCGGCGAAGTATTTTACAGAAAATTGGAATTCGATAATCATTATTGTCAACGTATTTTATTATTAGATTTTTATCAGGAAATACTTTTATTGTTTAACCTGACGTATGCTACGTAACTTTTTACGCAGTCATTTTTGGTAGGTGTTAGGGGCGTGAACTTTTAGTCACAACGGGCACCTGCTAAAGTGCATTATGCAGACGATTCTGTCAGTGTTGCCTATTTGAAAAAGTTAAGTTAGAAAACGATAATAATCACAGTGGCTATGAAATCATCTGCATACATTTATATAAAACATTCTACAGATCCACATATTTATAAACAATGCATACTGCATAATAAGTCTGTATCCGACCGACACAATCCATTCCACAGTTATTGATTATTTTAGAGACCCACTAATAATCAATGAAATGTATCTATTACAGATTTAAGAAGGCTCGAGCTAAGCTCTTGACTTGTATTTTATCGTAGTAACTGACTCTTTAGTTCTAAACAGAATCGGTCAGTCATTTATCTAAACCTAATAATAATTGTGGCTTAGTAAGAATTGTATAGTCCATATATGATTTCATTGACAGCAAATACATATTTCGGTTTGACGCCTATTTTGATGGATGTTGATTAATTAATGTTTATTTTGATACAATAATTTCGTTATGTAATTTGTCACTGATATACCATATGCATATGGATGATGCAGTAAGAATTTTAGTGGCTTGGTCTCTGACCTCCCAAATGTAATTCTTTCTGACCCTTTATTCATATTATAGTTGGTCATTGACGAATTGTCAATAATAACTAGGATGATATTTGAAAACCGATTTCATACCTCCAAAAAGTGCGCTGTGCCTATAATTTTCTGTCGTATTTAGCCATTATCTAATGTCTTATGTGTATCGTCTCAACATGAATGCGTTTCTAACATAAATCCAAATACTAAAACCAAGTTGAAGTTATTGTTAAAACGCCGACTTGTGCACATGACCCAATGGTTTTCTCTTCTTTCCCAATTAACTTTTTTACCCACCATTTGATTAGAAATTAGAGTAAGACAGTTCATTTATAAATATTCCCCAGAATATCCCCCTAGAAAGTGACACGGTATATTATATAATTTTACAAATGTCCGGTAACAAACCGTTTCTGCACGGCTAGGAACGGCTAGATGTGTGATACTGATAGACGAATATTAATATAATAGGAACGAAATGTACAGTATAATGTTATCTTGCTAGATCTGACACGTTTTGAAGCTAAACAAATGCATAAATATGATTACGACTGAACTGGTGGGTTAAGGATCCCCGTCCCTCCGCCTAAAAATGTAATGAGGCATTGTGGGTTTTTTTCTAGGGCATTGCTATTGCATAACCATATCATTTCTGAACAATAACCCATACATATCTTGAAGTAGTTTCCTCAGATTTTTTGGGATATTATGAAATTTCGTTTTAATTTTTTTTTTTTTTTCCAGCGGAACAAAATGAAACATTTTTTTTTTTTATTATGGTTTATTAGAAATAAAACACATAAAAAATAATAACAATGTAAATATTGATGAACAAAACACAAAAAAACTGAGGAATTTTCCAACAATAATACTAAAACAAACAAAAATGCCCGTTACATGAATCAATAAAATTCCGGGTGCCAATGCAACACGTTTAGAACAACGAAAAAAAATATAGGTGACAAAAAATAAATATCTTGCGGACTTACTTATTATACAAAAAATTATAAAGATACAAAAAAACTGAACAAAAAAGAGAGACAAACTGTACCAATAATAATTCTAAATCCCAAAAAGTCATATACAATTTACAACATATAATATAGCACTACTTATATACGAATATAATACAGTAAGCATTACCAACCATTCAAATTACTTAAAATGTAATAACCAATATAAAACAAAACTGCACATTGTGTATGAATAACATCATAACAAACAATGTACTTTACTGTGTCATAGCAAAAATGTCACAATGAACAACAACAAAATTTCATATATTTTACACAACAATAATCTACATAGATTTTAAACGCAAGGGACACAACTCTGTAGTCGAAACGTTATTCAAACGAAATATATCCAAGGGAAGATAACAACATTGTCGAAATGGTAATCAGGGGCAAGTGACTCTAACACTGAAAAACGACAGTGGAAATCTTTAGCGTTTTGCTCTGGCTGGGACGGGGATCCTTAACTAGGGTTCGGACAGTTACGGAATAGGAGTCTATAGTGATGTCACCAGATTTATTTTTTAAAATTAATGTAGGTTATATATTGTACCACATATCCAAAACGGGACTAGAAATTGTTGAGCACACATATCAAATTTCTTCCAGCTAGACAGATACAGTTCTCTATAAAATTCAAGATAATGCGATGGGTTTATTGGCTCTGCTTCATATCGTAAATATCAAGGTAAGTATAACTCCAACCTAATAAGATGTCCTGCTTTATAAACCTCCTTACACAGAACATTTTATTAAATAATAACTCGTCTTCGTCTTTATTCGACAGCCTGCTCCAGTAAAATCTGAGGCAACGACATCTGAAAATTGCAATACATGGATCTTATTTTAATGTTAACATGATAAGCAAAAAATCACACATAACGTGTTAAGGAGAGTAATTTTTAAAAACTGAGAAGAAGAGGAAAGGAGAGGGAAGAAAGTATAAAGTACGAGGAACGAAAACTCTTCTACACCGTATATTACAGAATGGGAGTCGTTAATTGTGTCGCATGTCAGAGAGGACAGAAGATGGTTGGGACGCTTGTCAGAGGAAAGGGAGTCGGTTGTAACACGTGTCAGAGAGGACGGGAGCTAGGTGACACATGTCAGACAGGACGGAAGTCGGTTGTGACACATGTCAGAGAGGAAGGGAGCCGGTTGTGACACATGTCAGAAAGGACAGGAGATGGTTGTAACACATGTCAGAGAGGAAGGGAGCCGGTTGTGACACATGTCAGAGAAGAAGGGAGCCGGTTGTGACGCATGTCAGGGGAAAGGGAGCCGACTGTAACACATGTCAGAGGGGTCGGGAGCTGGTTGTGACACATATCAGAGAGAACGTAATCTGGTTTTGTGACCCGTGAATCGAATGCCAAAATTGATTGTAAAACATGTAGGGGAGACTGGAATTAGTTGCGACACACGCTTGAAGTGAATACAAGAGTCGGTTGTAACATAAGAAGGGGACTGGAATTAATTGTAACTCGTGTAGGGGAGACTGGAGTTAGTTATATCACGTGTAAAAGAGACTGGAGTAAGGTGTAACATGTGTAGGGGAGACTGGAATTAGTTGTAACACGTGTACTTAACACTGGGGTTGGTTGGATGTAACAAGTGTAGGGGAGACTGTAGTTGGTTGTAACACGCAAATGGTTATTATAATACGTGTAGGGGAGACCGGAGTCGGTTGTAACACGTGTTTTTGGAGACTGGTGTTGGATGTAACACATGTAGGTGAGACTGGATTTGGTTGTTACACGTGTAGGGGGTGCAAAACGTATAGTGGAGACTGTAAATGGTAGTCAATTTAAAGCGTGTAAGGGAGACAGGAGTTGGTTGTAACACGTGTAGGGGAGACAGGAGTTAGTTGTAACACGTGTAGGGGAGACAGGAGTTAGTTGTAACACGTGAAGGGGAGAAAGGAGTTAGTTGTAACACATGAAGGGGAGACATGAGTTGGTTGTAACACGTGAAGGAGAGACAGGAGTTAGTTGTAACACGTGTAGGGGAGACAGGAGTAAGTTGTAACACGTGAAGGGGAGACAGGAGCTAGTTGTAACACGTGTAGGGGAGACAGGAGCTAGTTGTAACACGTGAAGGGGAGACAGGAGTTAGTTGTAACACGTGTAGGGGAGACAGGAGTTAGTTGTAACACGTGTAGGGGAGACAGGAGTTAGTTGTAACACGTGAAAGGGTCACGGGAGTTGTTTGTATCATGTGTAGGGGAGACTGCAGTTGGTTGTAAAACATGTAGTGGAGTCTGTAGTTGGTTATATCACGTGTAAAAGAGACTGCATTTGGTTGTATAATGTGTAGGGGAGACTGCAGTTGGTTGGATCATGTGTAGGGGAGACTGCAGTTGGTTGTATCATGTGAAGCGGAGACTGCAGTTGGTTGTATCACGTGTAAAGGAGACTGAAGTTGGTTGTAACACGTGCAGGGGAGACTTGAGCTGATTGTTACACGTGTAACGAACACGGGAGTTGGATGTAATACGTGTAGGGGGAGACTAGTTGGTTGTAACACGTGTAGGGGAGACGAGAGTTGGTTGTAACACGTGTAGGAGATACTGGAGTTGGTTGTAACACGTGTATGGGATACTGTAGTTGGTTGTAACACGTGTAGGTGATACTCTGGTTGATTAAAACACGTGTAGGTGATACTGGGGTTGATTAAAACACGTGTAGGGGAGACTGGAATTGGTTGTAACACGTGTATGGGAAACCTTAAGTAGTTTATGATTTTTTTTACATGATGGCGTGCCATACTGGCAGTTCCAGCAATGTTATCATAAAGCTCACAGGAAGTAGTACACTGCTGGCACGAGTTCAATTAATTCTTTTAACAGTCAGTGGGAGAGGCGTAAACCATTCTCAAGTACTGGCCGCAGAACTACCTTTTAGACTAACAATTGATAAATATATTTGCTGTAAATATCTATGTTACTAGTCATTTTACATTCAATTTTCAACCTTTCTTCAATAATGGCGGATTCATCACCCAGAACGTGATAGATAGTGATTATATTATGTAGATCGATTTTATTATCAGTTGCGTCGTCTGTCAAGCCACCGAGCGTGAACAAGGGGAGAAAACTCTGGTAGATATGAGAATGTGAATAGTAGTGCGAATGCTTGAGCGGAGCGAGTAACACGTACATCATGACGGCTGCAGATTACTTGCAGTTGGTACTATCACATGTAATTGCAGGTATAATTGGAATCCTGTGTGTTTTGTCCCTATTATGGAGGTGCGTCCGACATCCATTCAAGTTTCTAAATGAGGAAACAAATAGGAAAAAGAGGGACATTATGCCTGCTTGTCTGAACGACCCGACTCTAGGAACTCACGGCTTTATACATTTGGAGGTGAGTTGGTTACTTGGTTTGAAATGAAAGTAGATCAGTACAGGTACGTTATGTTTGGGATTTTACTGATATATTATACTAATTCTATACAGAATCTACATGAAATGATATTAGTTAGCATGTGCTTTTTTTTAAAATACTTTGCATAGCAATTTTCTTGTACAATGGACTTTGATTCCTACCCGTGAAATGTGTAGTCACTCAGAGACGTATATACTACTGGCTTTATACAACGGTCCGAATACCGTCAGTGGATTAGCTAGACATGCTGGCTCGTGTCCTTGTGCCATGTTAAGTTATTTAAACATATAATCATGGTCAACATATGTTCAGTACCCTTTCAATGCACATTTGTTATCATTATTGAGAATATCATAAATGCTAAATATCTACACTTGAAAATGACCCTGTTCCATTGATAGTCCGTTCTTATGTAGGTCTGCAACAAAGTAATAGAAGAAATCATAAAAATGCTCCATCTGGTGTTAAAATAATGTTTTATTCAAATAAATTAATTATTGAGTTACGCTACTCAGGTTTGAGGTACTGACAAAAAATTAACATATTTACAAAAAAACACCATAAAAACATTGTCTGTTAAATATACTTATATTCTCGTGGTATAAGATTTTTGTTATTAATTTGTTTGAATTTGTTACAAGAAACTACAAAAGTATCATCTTATAAAATGAGGAAAAGGGTAATGTATTAATTTTCAAAAGAATTAAGTTAAATAGATATGTGGGACATACTCAAACAATGGTCACAAAGGTAGAACTGTTTCAGAATGGCAGACTAGTACCCCCACCGGGAAGGTATTGTCAACTCCCATTTGTGTACTAAATTCATATCCTTCAATGCAAGTTATATATATATATATAAAGTATCATTCAAAATTGTACAGTATTTTGAGAGAAGATATATGCTAACATTCTTTTAAACAAAGGGGCATAACTCCATAAATAAGGGAGGTAGCTCTATTTTATATATTCAATTCAAATCCCCTCAGTGCAAGTTTTATGTGAACCACAAGTTTTATTAAAATCAGTGCATAATTGCTTTAGGAAGGTGTAGTTTGCAAAATATTTTTAAAGAAAGGGGCATAACTCCATGAATAGGGAAGGTTCCCCCAATCTATATACATACTTTATTCACATCTACCTCAATGCAAAGGTTCTTTGGTGCAAGTTTTATCTAAACCTGCTTTTGGAGGACCCAACACCATTATACCTCCCTGCTGTCAATTTCTTTGAGGATGGTATACTATATGCTGTATTTTGATACTAGCTAGGCTCCCAAAACATTGGGGTAGGTAGGTAGGCAAATTGTTTATTTTATTAAATTTATTTTATGAGGGTATCTAAAATAAGTGGAAAACAACAAGGGTAGACACTGAAATCTACATATAGGCTAGGTATGGAATGCCTAACTATTCGTAAATTGAGGGTTCACATAGTTTCAAATGCCAGTTGTTGGCTTTATGAGATACAAACTGTACTGTATGTAACTAGAGTTTCCTGTTCAGCAGCGCCTATGATGACTAGGATTCCAACATTTAGACAGTACGCCAGACAATGTTAAAAGTCCGGTGTCCAGCTCTTACTATACTCTATAGTAGTTCACCAAGTCTTCAGTAGGGTTTTAATGCCAAGTGTGGCATGGACAATATCTTATTTGAAGATTTCTGGCTTGTTGCATAGATATTATGAGTAAACATACAGAAGGTACTTACGCAATTTACAAAAGGATTGATTTGTATTCCACATTATCCACCTTGAAAATGGATGTTTGGGTAGGGATATGAAACATTACCCATGTCCTTTACATATCAGGCATATACATCTGTCTACTGACCCCCGCCCCCCACCACCCCGATTTAACCTATGTTAAACAATATTAAGTGGCCAGATATGGACCAAAGTCTCCTACCAGGTTTTCTTATACAGGACACAGAGTAGACCATTTCTTCTTAACCAAGTCACTGAAGCGTTAACTCCGCATCCGTAGTTACCTTGTAGCACTTGCATCGTTACTCAGATGTGGACTGAATGAATTTCTTAATGTAAGGGAACATTAAGGAAGTAACTTAAGTGTAAAATGTGCATCATCTTCAGCATCCCTGACATGTGTTCATCAGAACGACCCTAGCTGTTTAATTGTTTCAAGTAGTATACGACCACGTAGCAATTACAGTTACCCAGAAATGGACTTAACAATTTTTCTTCATATGCATGGATGGACAGAGATTTTTTCTTTAATGTGCATGGATGAACAGACACACAAATCCGTTTCTATGTTTGTATGTAGATAAAAAGACTTTGATTGACACAAGTAGCTATTTAAATGATTTTATCTGTTTGAATTAAAGTGGCATAGACTTCGACTATCATCACAAAAACTTGTATATACCACATGGCTATCTGTACTATTTTACCGGTACACTGTATTGCTGTATTTCCTGTTTAAAATAGCTTCTCTGCTTTAGATAAGGGATCAACGTGTAGGTCTGAATTAATACATAGTTAGATTTTTTGTTTCTGATGTATACATGAATATCAATATAATTATGATATATCTTGAATATTAGGAACTTCTTTTCAATATCTATTTGTGTGTTCATTTATATATGTTTGCGATCTGTCTCTTCTGCAATCATTTGTTTGTCATCCATAAAACCATCATTGACAATTTTAATATCCCGTTAATAGTCCTATTAAATCCTTAGTGTTTTGATATAGGACCTGTTGGTAGCTGGGATGGAAGGCTATCATAGTGTTTTGATATAGGACCTGTTGGTAGCTGGGATAGAAGGCTATCATAGTGTTTTGATATAGGACCTGTTGGTAGCTGGGATAGAAGGCTATCATAGTGTTTTGATATAGGACCTGTTGGTAGCTGGGATAGAAGGCTATCATAGTGTTTTGATATAGGACCTGTTGGTAGCTGGGATAGAAGGCTATCATAGTGTTTTGATATAGGACCTGTTGGTAGCTGGGATAGAAGGCTATCATAGTGTTTTGATATAGGACCTGTTGGTAGCTGGGATAGAAGGCTATCAAGGTCGTTCGAATTAGATGACTTGACCTTCTTTCAGGGTCACACGGGTCACACATGTGAATCTTTTAAATAACCTTTTCTTAAGTTTCATAAGGCCAAGGGTCAAGCTACTGTCAGGCAAATTATCAAGCAAACTTTGTAGAAATGCGTCTTCCATCATGGGAATTTTCCTCTATCCCTGGGACGGGGGTTGCAATAATTATGGTGGCCAGGTTAGTTGTTTTTTTAGGTTTTCTTAAGATCTCCTTTTGCTGGTACAAAAAGTTTACATTTCCCCATTTACAGACGAGGCATACTAACAACAATAATTGAAGAAAATTGATAACTTTATTACATTGATGTACGTTCAAGTTTGATATGACAGGTGACTGTCAAGGCTCCTGGGCATCCTGTGTTATTTTCCTACCTGTGGTTGAGATATTTAGACTTTATAGTTTCTGTACTTGCATACATGTAACTATGTATATAAATATGATAAGCATCCATGATATAGCAACAAGATTGCTTCCTGATTTTAGTTGAACTCGCATGATTGTTTTTTTAATGGAAATATCTGTACAGTGATAAGGAATGAGAGGTTGCCGAGTCCTACTGTGAGGCAGTGGGGAATTTGGCAGTGTGTTAAAGTAGAGGGAATAGAACTGTTAAGATATGTCGCTATAGGGCACAGTTCTTCTTATCTCCTTCTCTAGAGTCATCTAGCCAAGTATTCATATCCTGGTGGCATTCAAGTACATGTAATAAACCTGAAACTTTAAACGTGCTATGTTTTCAGAAATCTTCGCCGTGTCTGAATTAATAGGGTTGTACTCAGAAATTAGTGTTCATACTGACAAGGTTCCACTGTACACAAACCATAGTGTCCAGACGAGCAAGGTTCAACTGTACAGAAACAATAGTGTCCAGACTAGCAAGGTTCCACTGTACACAAACCATAGTGTCCAGACGAGCAAGGTTCAACTGTACAGAACCAATAGTGTCCAGACTACCAAGGTTCCACTGTCCACAAACCATAGTGTCCAGACGAGCAAGGTTCAACTGTACAGAAACCATAGTGTCCAGACTAGCAAGGTTCAACTGTACAGAAACAATAGTGTCAAGACTAGCAAGGTTCCACTGTACACAACCCATAGTGTCCAGACTAGCAACATTCCATTGTATACAAACCATAGTGTCCAGACTAGTAAGGTTCCATTGTACCCAAACCATAGTGTCAAGACTAACAAGGTTCCATTGTACACAAACCATAGTGTCCAGACTAAGGAGGTTCCATTGAACACAAACCATAGAGTCCAGACTAACAATGTTCCATTGTACACAAACCATAGTGTCCAGACTAATAAGGTTCAATTGTACACAAACTATAGTATCGAGACTAACAAGGTTCCACTATACACAAACCATAGTGTCCAGCCTAAGGAGGTTCCATTGTTCACAAACCATAGTGTCCAAACTAACAAGTTTCTATTGTACACAAACCATAGTTTCCAGACTAAGGAGGTTTCATTGTACACAAACCACATAGTGTCCAGACTAAGGAGGTTTCATTGAACAAAAACCATAGTGTCCAGACTGACAATGTTCCATTTTACACAAACCATAGTGTACAGACTAAGGAGGTTCCATTGTACGTAAACTATAGTGTCCAGAATAACAAGGTTCCATTGTACACAAACCATAGTGTCCAGACTAAGGAGGTTTCATTGTACACAAACCATAGTGTCCAAACTAACAAGTTTCCATTGTACACAAACCATAGTGTCCAGACTAAGGAGGTTCTATTGTACACAAACCATAGTGTCCAGACTAAGGAGGTTTCATTGTACACAAACCATAGTGTCCGAACTAACAAGTTTCCATTGTACACAAACCATAGTGTCCAGACTAATAAGGTTCCATCGTACACAAACTATAGTGTCCAGACTAATAAGGTTCCATTGTACACAAACCATAGTGTCCAAACTAACAAGTTTCCATTGTACACAAACTATAGTGTCCAGACTAACAAGTTTCCATCGTACACAAACCATAGTGTCCAGACTAACAATGTTCCATTGTACACAAACCATAGTGTCCAGACTAATAAGGTTCCATTGTACACAAACTATAGTGTCCAGACTAACAAGGTTCCATTGTACACAAACCATAGTGTCCAGACTAAGAAGGTTCCATTGTACACAAACCATAGAGTCCAGACTAACAATGTTCCATTGTACACAAACCATAGTGTCCAGACTAATAAGGTTCCATTGTACACAAACTATAGTGTCCAGACTAACAAGGTTCCATTGTACACAAACCATAGTGTCCAGACTAACAATGTTCCATTTTACACAAACCATAGTGTCCAGACTAACAAGGTTCCACTATACACAAACCATAGTGTCCAGACTAAGGAGGTTCCATTGTTCACAAACCATAGTGTCCAGACTAACAATGTTCCATTGTACACAAACCATAGTGTCCAGACTAATAAGGTTCCATTGTACACAAACTATAGTGTCCAGACTAACAAGGTTCCATTGTACACAAACCATAGTGTCCAGACTAACAATGTTCCATTGTACACAAACCATAGTGTCCAGACTAACAAGGTTCCATTGTACACAAACCATAGTGTCCAGACTAACAAGGTTCCATTGTACACAAACCATAGTGTCCAGACTAACAAGGTTCCATTGTACACAAACCATAGTGTCCAGACTAACAAGGTTCCATTGTACACAAACCATAGTGTCCAGACTAACAAGGTTCCATTGTACACAAACCATAGTGTCCAGACTAACAAGGTTCCATTGTACACAAACCATAGTGTCCAGACTAACAAGGTTCCATTGTACACAAACCATAGTGTCCAGACTAACAAGGTTCCATTGTACACAAACCATAGTGTCCAGACTAACAAGGTTCCATTGTACACAAACCATAGTGTCCAGACTAACAAGGTTCCATTGTACACAAACCATAGTGTCCAGACTAACAAGGTTCCATTGTACACAAACCATAGTGTCCAGACTAACAAGGTTCCATTGTACACAAACCATAGTGTCCAGACTAACAAGGTTCCATTGTACACAAACTATAGTGTCCAGACTAACAAGGTTCCATTGTACACAAACCATAGTGTCCAGACTAACAATGTTCCATTGTACACAAACCATAGCATCCAGACTAATAAGGTTCCATTGTACACAATTACTATAGTGTCCAGACTAGCAAGTTTCCATTGTACATAAACCATAGTGTCCAGATTAAGGTGGCTCAATTGTACACAAACCATAGTTTCCAGACTAACAATGTTCCATTGTACCCAAACCATAGTGTCCAGACTAACAATGTTCAATTGTACACAAACCATAGTTTCCAGACTAACAATGCTCCATTGTACACAAACCATAGTTTCCAGACTAACAATGTTCCATTGTACCCAAACCATAGTGTCCAGACTAAGGAGGGTCCATTGTACACAAACCATAGCGTCCAGACTAATAAGGTTCCATTGTACACATGAACTGTAGTGTCCAGACTAGCAAGATTCCATTGTACACAAACCATAGTTTCCAGACTAACAAATTTCCATTGTAAACAGAAATTATAGTGTCCAGATTAAGGAGGTTCTATTGTATACAAACTATAGTGTCCAGACTAAGGAGGCTCCATTGTACACAAACCATAGCGTCCAGACTAACAAGGTTCCATTGTACACAGAAATTATAGTGTCCAGATTAAGGAGGCTCCATTGTACACAAACCATAGTGTCCATACTAACAAGGTTCCATTGTACACAGAAATTATAGTGTCCAGATCAAGGAGGTTCCAGTGTATACAGAAACTATAGTGTCCACACTAAGGAGGTTACACTGCATTTGAACTTGGTTTACTTTCGTTTTCCCACAGCATGTGAAGCTGCACTACGTTTCCAATGGCGACGAGAAGAAACCTTTGATGCTGCTGATCCATGGCTTTCCAGAGTTCTGGTACTCATGGAGGTTCCAGCTTCGAGCCTTCGCTGGAGATTACAGGTCTGAAATCAATTTGCATGATACAAAAGAATTTGAGACGAAAGGTTACTTATAAGAGATGTATTTATCAGAATAAGTGCTTCTCCACCTATTTTGGAAAATAATCAGACAGCTTGATTGGGGTAATTTGCCCTGATTAAAAAACATGTGCCTTCAGAAAGGCAGGGATTATTAGGGAGTTTTGAGTCCTTATGGATGGATATGTGATACTGTTGAAATGTAATCATATATCATACAGTTGATGTGTAAAACAGTTGACATGTAATATATACTTCATTCATTTTACAACAGTAATGAAACATTTTTTTTCTAATTAACTTATATTAATGTGTCTTGTTTGCCAAGATGAAAGCGCATATAGGGTTAAAGGGTTTTAATGTGAGAGGGAACTGGGGTACCTACAGAAAACCCCTGTGGTTTGGGTAGGTGACCCATATTCCTTTTCACGTCTGATGTGGGAATCAAACTCAAGCCGTCTTTATGAAATGCAAGTGCGCTATCGACTACCACCCTAATACAATTGATATGTAACATAGTTGACATATAACACAGTCAATATCTAAAACAACTGTAATACAGTTGATCAGAATTATTCTGAAAATATAAACACATTGTACACCCAGAGTTATTATCGAGCGGTGCTAGATGATAGAAATATCTCCATACAGTTTTTTGATGCTAGCTATACCTCCATTTATGAGACCATAAACACCAAATAAACAAGATAAATAAACATGAATTGCTTGAATTACAAACTTAATTTTAATGTACTGTCTGCAAAAATGCCTATGTAGTATATTACTGTGAAAAATGTTTACTGAAGAAAAATGTTAAACTTAAAATACAAAGTTTTGAGCTTCAGAATAAGACGATATTTCAACATTTCCTTCAACATTTAGTTCCGTGTATTAAAATGAAAATGAAAGAAATATGATTAACATATTATATCAATGTTTCGTAAAATAAAAACTATCTTTAAAATATGCACCCGTATAGGAAAGGATCAGTGTCTGTCATTATTAACTAAATGTTGTTTTTGACTAATTCATTCCATTCTTTTAATTCATTTGATAATAAGGAATATTTTTTTGCAACTACCTGTACCAGGATATTGTGACATTTAAAATGATGTCATTTGAAACATTTTTCAAATAGAACAATTCCAACATCTGGAGAATGTTTTTCAGCTTTTGAATCATCAGTTTAAACAATTGTAAGAAAAATAAAGAGATGGATTTTCAAGTTAATTTGCACAGAGATAACTATTCACATCAATGTGAACAACTTGGAATGTAAGAAAACACATACTGCTGTATTTCCGGGAGTTTTTCTCTCTAAAGTTTGAAGTGGAAAAACAAATGTGGATGAGATGGGAACCATATGACTACATCTGTCAGGAATGTAGGAGGTTGGATTTGATTAGTCCCTTGTGATGAGAGCCCTGTAGGTAGAGTGTCTATCTATATTGTGGGGGCTTATGACTTGATTCTTAGTCTGGCCTTCTTTTTAGATTTTCTAATTTTCTAAGTTACCCTGTAAATACCAAGAAGAGTTGGGTTTTAGAGGATAATGTGTTTTAATAGACTTCCAGGCCTAACTTCCAAACAAACATCATATATTATGTGGGTCTGACCGAACTGAAGACTGCTGAAAATAATTTTAGGTGTTCATACCGCAATTTCATAAAGGTTTCTTAACTTTGATTTTCCGTAGGAAAATATTACTGAAATTAAGGAAATTTCCTTAGCTCCAAGTGTTTCTTTATCCCAAAATACTTTCAAATGGAAAAACCTAGATTAATGAATTTCCTTAGGCAAGGAATGTTTAATGAAAGATTAATGAATTTCCTTAGGTAAGGAATGTTTAATGAACTTTAATGAATTTCCTTAGGCAAGGAATGTTCATGCAACTGGGGCAGGCATTATCTATTTTCTGATAGGTTCTGTGCCAAGTGTGCTTTTTAGGATGAGTACAGTATGTGATACCATTACTAGGGAGCCTATGTATTCTACACCATTACACACTGCTACTGAGCAATCGCACATGCAAATTGAATCTAATGAAAAAGCACTTAAAATAGGCTAAAAATAGTTAAAATAAACTCTGCTATTGAACATTGACAACATGTGTGTAAAGTGTTTTCTTTTTATTAACACAAAGCTTTGTTAAAAATATTTTTATAAAAGTCTTCATTTGTGATGTTGTCATATAAAAAAATCATGTGTATTAAGAATTTGTTTGTCATCCAACATTTGAGACAAGACTAATGCTATAAACAGAAATACAGTCCATAGAGAGCTGTATTTCTGGTAATGTTACAATGGTATGCTTGCATTTATTGATTGGAATGGAAATAGGGAGCATGCACTTACAGATAACATTGGCTGTATGAAAATGTAGATGATCACAATATCCTATTTCCTGCCTTAAGGATTCCTGTCCCTCTGCAGGCAAAATACTAGAGAGTTTCACTGTGGTTTTCGTATAAAGTAACCTCCCTTAATTTCATTTTGGATATTACTGTAACGCAGTTGGACCATAGTATTTCCGTTGACCGGATAGCTCAGCTGGTTAGAATGACAGTATAAAAATCTGAGGTCCAGGGTTCGAATCCCAGTCTATAATTCTGATGCTACTCAATTAAGAAAATCCATGATATAATGTTAAACTTTATATAACTATATTCTGCAAATTCTCCACTGCATTACTGCAGTGTCTGCCACTGTATTGTTGTATGTTTACTGATGAGCTGAAAAACTGAATGAATTAAGGTGTATAAAAGGAAGTGGGAGTTCTGATTGGATGTAAAATCGGGTGTAGAATGGGTGGGAATGCATGAGTAGTGTGAAAAAGGGATTAAGGAAGCAGCTGTGAGATTGGAGGAGTGTAGGGATTGGGTTCACAGTGGGATGGGGAGAGATTGGAGGAGTGTAGGGATTGGGTTCACAGTGGGATGGGGAGAGATTGGAGGAGTGTAGGGATTGGGTTCACAGTGGGATGGGGAGAGATTGGAGGAGTGTAGGGATTGGGTTCACAGTGGGATGGGGAGAGATTGGAGGAGTGTAGGGATTGGGTTCACAGTGGGATGGGGAGAGATTGGAGGAGTGTAGGGATTGGGTTCACAGTGGGATGGGGAGAGATTGGAGGAGTGTAGGGATTGGGTTCACAGTGGGATGGGGAGAGATTGGAGGAGTGTAGGGATTGGGTTCACAGTGGGATGGGGAGAGATTGGAGGAGTGTAGGGATTGGGTTCACAGTGGGATGGGGAGAGATTGGAGGAGTGTAGGGATTGGGTTCACAGTGGGATGGGGAGAGATTGGAGGAGTGTAGGGATTGGGTTCACAGTGGGATGGGGCGAGATTGGAGGAGTGTATGGGTTGGGTTCACAGTGGGATGGGTAGAGATTGGAGGAGTGCAGGTATTGGGTTCACAGTGGGATGGGGCGAGATTGGAGGAGTGTAGGGATTAGGTTTACAGTGGGATTTGGAGTAACATGGATGAGATGTAGGAATAATATAATATAAGTATCAACAGTTGAAAACAAAACATGTTCTGGAACCTGGATTGACCATCTCCATACCCCTTAAGGTTGAGATAGCCAAAGGTAAAACAGACAACCTATAGTCTGGTTGATAAGAGTGAAAATGTAGTCGTCCATATTTATGAACAGATAGGTATTTATACAGGGTCGGGTACAAGTGGTCTGCTCTGAAGTGACCTGTTCAAGGTAATGTTTGTTTGACAGACCAGCAGGTTTCTGTATATAGATAACAACATCACCATATCCCAATATCACGACTCAGCTTGTTTATCATACATGTACTTTTATTTGGGGGACTTTCCCGTTGGGTAACTATCTTCTTTGATTAAGGTCACAGATGGTTAATTGTTACATAATTTGTAAACTGCCTATCTTATACCTGTAATGGAAGTTGTCTGTAGGAAACATGAACATTATATTCTATTAAATTTCAACATTATGAAAGACATAACCACCCCATATCTATTCCCCAAACAAAAATTGTCACAATGTATTCCCTTTGATAGGACTCAAACTGCAAGTCCTAAGACTCAAAGAGATAATGACAAGGAGGCCCTCTCATAGGACTCAAAGCTGAAGGTCCTCTGTCTGAGTGGGCTGCTTAGAATAGTTGGAAACGTCCCAAAAGGTCAAATATTATTTTTGGCACAGTGCACATGTTTTAAAAGAGTTTTGGGTGTTAATGGAAACTTTATACTTCAAACAAACAATTGGAAGTCAGGGTATTGGTGAGAATTTTCAGTTGACTTTGTGCTTCACCCCCCACCCCCACGTCACCAACCCCCAATTCAATCCTGGAAACTAACCCTTGTTGGAAGGGGATCTCTGAATATTAGGCACTTAAGGCATCTGTGAAGCAGCACTATTATCTTGATTATCACAAGTAGACATAAACAGACGAACCACCTAAAACCTCACTAGTTCATGACCTGTTGACCATTATTTCACCGGGGGTGGACAGTGCAGCAGCTGGTATGGATTAAGCATCTGTTCAGTACACGCTAATCAGCCTACCACAGACTTCATATTATGACGGTACATGTACTACTGTTTTTTGAAAGGCATACATTCATGTAGTTGTTCAGTCTTTCCACTTGTGGACCATCACCAATTCATTTTAATACGCCCGTCAAATTTGACATAAGTATTATGGTATGGGGTTGTCCGGCCAGCCGGCGTAAACTTTTGTTTGTCCGGCAATCTCCTCCTACATTTTTCAAACGATATCTTTGAAACTTGGTATACATTATATTCATAATTATAATTTTAATTTGACAATTTTTGCAAGAGTTATTGCCCTTTGTTCATTTCAGTGTTTGATTTTTTGTCGGGAGATCTTCTTCTAAATTTTTTGATGCATTTCTTTGAAACTTAGTAGGCTAAATAATTATGATATGTTGTTGTGTTTCCTTGAAAAGAATTTTGATTCAACAATTTTTGTAAAAGTTATTGCCCTTTATTTATTCCTCCTACATTTTTCAACGGATCTCTTTCAAACTTGGTTACATTATAATCATGATATGAAGTTGTGTCTCCCTTAAAAGAATTTTGATTCGACAATTTTTGCAAAAGTTTTTTGTCCAGAGATTTTCTCCTACATTTTTTATAGCATATCAGCTAACCACTCTTAGAATGATGCAGATATTATTTCAATCTAAGAAAGTATATAACACTATATTGCATTTGACGGGCGTATATTGTTCCGGCCCGCGGTACTCTTGTTATCATCTCACCTGCCACAAAGTGTATGTGCATTATCTACTGTCATCTGTCTGTCATCATTTCCTTATATCCATGTCTTTCACCTTCTTTCAGTGTCACAGTTGTCAAATACAAATAACAGGATATTTCAGCAAGGATGACATTTGTTTTCGATTTCACGGTCAATAACAAATCGAGAAAAGATGATCGGTTGTTTGCAACCAAAAATTACCTTAACCTACTTTCAGGGACACAGAGGACAAATATGTCCAAACTTTTGATGAATGGAAATATCTAGAATCAGGATATTTAGCTGGTAGCTTCTTTTGATGAAGTCTTCAAACGTTTTTGATCAAAAACGACTTTGACCTGGTCACAAATGTCAAATATGTCAAAAACTTCAAACAACTTCTGAAGAAGAACTGACAGGCCTAAAGTCTTAATATTGGCTTAGATATTATAGGGAAATTTCCTTAGAAACTCNACACCTCACACACATATATTTTTCTTGTTAACTGCTGACAAAGACAAAGACCAGTCCTATTGTTGTAGGCAACTATGAATATGTATGTTGATTTTTTTTTCTCCAATTTTAAAGTCCTTTTATTTAGTCTGTTTATTTCGTCTTTACACAATTGATTTATGCATGTACATCACCAGTCATAAAGGAACAATTGATAATGCATTCATGTCGAAATCAACAATAATTTTTCAAAACAACCAACACAAGTTTTAATGCCAATATTCAGCAATACTGTTATTTTACATGGCACGTACATGCTGATTTATAACTAGGTAAATACATAAACAGTTGTTTAATTTTATTTGGCGTTTATGCATGTTGAACTTAACTTTAACGATAACTGAATAAATGATGCTGTCTATTATTAAAAGAATAGAGAAAATGTTTTGATGCTGATGGTATTGTTTCAATTATGTATGAACAGGGTTGTGGCTTTGGACCTAAGAGGATACTCAGAGTCAGAAAAACCAAACGGCTACAACAGCTACACAATAGAAAATCTGGTGGGGGACATTAAACAGTTGATTCCAGCTCTGGGTAAGTGTAACATAAATTGTTCTCACCAGCAGCATTATATCCCCCACTCCTCAAGCCTTCAGTCGTCAATAACAGTGTCTTATAAGCTTAATATAAAAGTGCAGTATTTAGATGGAAATATATGTTGCTAAAAACATCTATAGAATGTAATATAATGATTTGTCAAAAACAAAAAATTGAAATTTTAACAGTATTTAAAATGTTAACAAACCCTGCTTATGAAAAAAATATAACTTGGAAAGGTGAAGTAGTTAGGTGTTAAGCTAACAAATTGTAGACTCTTGGTGCCTCTCGTCACATGTGATGAAGTAAATTCTCTACAATATTGATGACTTTTATCCTTAGCGTGCATGCCCATGTACTCACTGATTGGTCTATTGATATAGCTTGTGTCACTCTAAGTTAGAGTGAAAAAAATATGAAATATTCTCAAACAGTGTTTGATGAAATGAGGTATAATTATCCTTGACAACTGGTTTGTTTTCATCCAGAAATCTCTGGGTAAAAGATAGTATTTTCAAAATATTACCAATTCATAATGAATTCATTCAGATGATAGGAATGAAAGAAACATACCCAGTCATGTGGGATAGAGAAATTCCACCCTCAGGATTTTCACATTGGTGCAAATCCCTTGGCAAGCTGCACCCACTTTAAAATATCCTTATAATCTTGTCTCTAGGGTAGGTTATTTCCATGTAAGCTGTTTGGCATGGACCATTTTCTAAGATGAGTGTACATTGCACACACACCTGATTGTGTATGGTTTGTCCTCAAATTTATCCTAGGTTTACTCAGAGATTCTTACATTTATCGTACGCTGCAATCAATATTGATCTCAAATTCATAAAAACAAAATATCCTTGCATGCTGAGCAGTTCAGACCTATATTTTATTATATAAGAAAATTTGTTTTATCTCTACCACCAAATACTGGGTACATTAGTTTTTCAGTGATTTAAATGTTAATCTCTTACAGTTGTCAAGTTCAACATCAGTTTCCTTCATCAAAGGGGGAAATCTGTTTTTTTTTCGCATGGGTTCTAAGTTGCCAATCTCACATACTGTTTTCCTTCAGGCACACATTTGAATTTAATATTAGAAAGGGCATTTTGTTAACATTTAATGGGAAAATGAATTGCAAAATGTTGCTTACTAAAAGGTAGGTCACAGTGACCTATATTGTTATCTTTGATTCTATTGTTGAACATTGTTTTCTGGATCATTTTGTACCATTTGTGGCACTTCTCTCTGTTCTACATTTCTACATCAAAATTCAAGAATATTTACAACAGCCATATGTTGTAGAGTACAGTATAGGGGTGATTGCAGAATTACTCACATAGTTTATCTCCATTGTAAACAGGTTCAGTTTTGTATACAAATTCATCAGTTGTGATCAGGCTGCAGTCTTTGTCATTCCATGGGAGTGATGCCAACACTGCACCTACCATAATGACCCTGCATTACACAACATGGCGATGCAGAGATTATGTAATTGCCAAGATGTTTGCGCCTGAATTCTGTGTTTTTAATCTGTAATTGTGCGATTTACATTGACTATCATGATCATTTGATGTATAATTACTGTCAGTACACACTATGTACAAGAAATTCTATCCCTTGGAGGTGAGTTTTGGTTGCCATTAATTATATAATAAGTCAAGGAAATCATGAAACAGCCAAAATACCGAAGTACAAATTTCAGCTTTCAATGAAAGAAGTATTTTACTTGTGGAATGATCCATATCAGGTAATGATATTTAAATGTACTGAATAGGATCATTATTTGTACCATTAATTTAGTAACTAAATTGTTTCATGGTCTTAGGGCTGGTATGTTAGATGTAAGTTGTAATATAATTTATATACAAATAAACTAATATGTATGTGTCAAGATAAGGAGATGGGGGATGAAGGTCCTGTAGTTAGGTGTATTGATAAACACAGTGATGTAACTACGTCTTCACTAATTAGTGGGGACAGTTCATTTCCTGCCCATGTCACAATGAAGCTCTTCAGGTTACCAGAGTATTCTGGCACAGATATAGGACTGGGAGCTAGACAGATCCTGCTACAGAGGACACTAATGCTTCAGAAGTCATCGAAGCAGATTGAGTTGTGTGTTGGGATCTTAGGAAGAGAGAGTTATTTATGTAATAGCATGTGAAGATGATTCATAATGCTGCATGGATAAATAGAAAATGGCCTTTGCTTTGAGAAAAGTCTAACTATGTTTCAAAAAATGATAGATTAACAATGATGTATCCTATAAAGGATCTCTTGTACAAAAATCCTGGATTTATTTATTGCATCAAGGACATTTGGATGCAAAGAACCCTATTGATTTTGGGAATGGTGCTTAAGAGGTCAAGGTCACCATTGCTAAAAATAGAATTTTACTTTGTTGGACTTGTCCGGAAGATGACTTGACAAACAAAGTTTTAACTTGGTGTGTGGGCTGCCCTTGTGGATGCAAAAACTCTATTGATTTTGTGCTTGGTGTGCCAAAGGTCAAGGTTTTCATTGCTAAAAATAAAATTCTGTTTTCCAGACCATAATTTGAAAACAAATGATCATATGAATTAAGTTCAAACTGGGTGTATGGGTTGCTCTAGCGGATGCAAAGAACCCTATTTGTGTGGTCAGCCTTAGGACAAGGTAACTGTGTTGCTAAAAATAGAACTTTGTTGTGTTTGTCCCCAACATAAGACAAATTCGTACTGGGTGTAGTGGGTGCCCTAGTGATTGCAAAATTCTATTGAATTAAGGGGCGGGCAGTCGGGGAGTCAAGGCCAGCATTGCTGAAAGATGGAATTTTACTACTCCAAACGATAACTTAAAAACTGTCTGTCATACAAAGTTCAAACTTGCTGTATAGGTAGCCCTACCATATATATATAATCCACTGGTCTTAGAGAAACATGTTAATGGATGGTTGTACAAAGTCTGCATGTCATACACAGAGAATGGGTAGCATGTCCACATAGAGCTTTTGTTAAACAGATTATACAGATTTGTATAGAAGTTTCCTGTTTGTACTCAAATCCATGAGGGGACAATAGCAGATCCTGCACATGTTTTGATTTTTTATAGGGGAGGGGGGGGGGTGTCTCTCTCTCTCTCGTTTTACATAAACTGCCTAGCAGATTATTCAAACTCAAAGTACATGCAGATGCAGTTTTTAAAGATATATATATATATACTGCATTACCAGAAAATAAATGGTCATTACTAAATAACTAGCTATAGTGCTGTTCATTGCTTATTAAACAAGAACACAATTTGCAAGCTTATGTAGTTCATGTTTGCATACAGTACATGATCTAGTGTCGGTAACAACTATGGCTGACATGTGTTGTAGGACATCGGAGTGCTGTAGTTGTCGGCCATGACTGGGGTGGTGCTATCGCCTGGGGGTTTGCCATGAAGTACCAGGATATGGTGGACAAGCTGATCATCATGAATTGTCCGCACCCGGCCACCTTTAGGCCCTTCCTCAGAGGAAACTTCAAACAGCTTAAAAAATCATGGTTTGTTAGTTTTGTTAAATTGACATTTGACAGTTATGTTAAGGTTAAGGGTACCAATAAGGCTATATGTATATATAGTAACTACAAGGTAACAAAGACTAGGAGAAGGTAAAAGTTTATACTGTTTAATGCAGACCAACTGTCCTCAGTTCCTTGGAATTTCAGGTAAGCGATTGTGTCACCTTATTTCCCCTCCTAAAAAAATTGAGAGATGTTTGTACAGGTTTATGTGTTATTATTTTATAAGTTATGGCAAGGTAGTTAGGTTTTGATAGATTTTCCTTTTCAGGTACATATATACCGTATGTTTTAATTAATTTTGCCTTTGTCGGTATATGTTCTTATTATTTTGCCAATGATACACCTTTGTCGGTATATGTTCTGATTATTTTGCCAAAATGGTATATGTTTTGATTAATTTTGCATTTGTCGGTATATGTTCTGATTATTTTGCCTATAATAGTATATGTTCTGATTATTTTGCCTGTAATGGTATATGTATTGATTAATTTTGCATTTGTCGGTATATGTTCTGATTATTTTGCCTGTAATGGTATATGTTTTGATTAATTTTGCATTTGTCGGTATATGTTCTGATTATTTTGTCTTTGTAGGTACATGTTTTTCTTCCAAGTGCCCTATCTACCTGAGCACATGATGTCCAGAAATGATTATAGGGCAATAAAGGAAATGTTTACCAGCAAGCATGCAGGTCTTAGGGTTGGAACAATGACGGATGAGGATGTTGAGGCATACAAGTATGCTTTTTCTCATCCAGGTAAGTAAAGTATACATTCTGAATATTTTTCATTGATATAAGTACTATTTTTCTCTAACTCAGGTAAGTTAAGTATACATTCTGAATAATTTTCATTGATATAAGTACTGCTCTTCACTAACTCAGGTAAGTAAAGTATACATTCTGAATATTTTTCATTGATATAAGTAGTACTCTTCTCTAACTCAGGTAGGTAAAGTATACATTATAAATTTCTCTCATAGAGGAAAGTACTGCAGATATGCATATGTTCTCCCTCCAGTGAGTGTATACATGTCTATCGTCTATCATTTAGTGAACTACATAAACTAAATCTTTACTTGACCAGTGGGTAAGGTATTACAGTTATCATTCAGGTAATTCATACAAATATGAATCTCTTGTTCAAGAAATTATGTAATAGGACGCATTTTCATACAATACATCTAATCTTTGAGAATTTATGCTAGGTATAAGTATGGACCTGTAATTACATGCTAAGAGGGAGGACCAAAATTGGATCACTTTTTAGCCCACCATTATCTGATTTTGGGCTATTTAAATCACCCTTCGTTTCCCTTGGTCTGTAATTGTGCATGTTTACTTTTGAGACTGATCGCAGAAACAAAATAGCTGGCAGGCAGCCATCTTGGTTTTTGACAGCGAATGTTTGTTATAGCTATTTCTCAGAAAGTACTGGAGGAATCTTTTTCAAACTTGATAGGTATGTTCCCCTTGGTATGTTATTGTGCATGTTTTATTTGAGAGTGATCATAAAATCAAGATGGCCACAGGAAGAACTTAATTGGCATCTTTCTGATATAGCAATGACCAGTTCTATTTACATATGTGAAACCACAAACTCAGTGTGAAGGATGTCTTTTATACACACCAGTATGAAGTTTAGATCAAAGTTACCTGAAGGTGCATTTACTGTTTACATGACTTGATCAAACAGACAAGAGAAAAGTAGAGAAAAGATCACTGACACAGACCTTATAAAGATGGTACAATGGTGATATGGGCACCAATTGCAAGATCCCTCAGGGATCTCTTGTTGAAAATTGGGTTTCTTCCATGTTTTCTTTTTTATCCCCCGCTTTCACCGAAACGGGTGATATTAATTTGGGTTTGTCTGTCTGTCTGTCTGTCGTTTTGTCTGTCTGTCACTCTTCGTTTCCGTTCAATAATTACAACAAATATTAACAAATTTTCTTCAAGCTTGGTCACAGGGTTAAATACCTTATGGGCTCAGCCAAGTACGATGACCACTTTTAGCGGACCCCATTTGCCGGAGTTATGGCCCCTTGAATTACGAAAAACGTCATTATCTGCTGCGTTTCGTTTCCGTGCAATAACTACTACAAATGTTAACCGATTTTCTTCAAACTTGGTACCAGGGTTAAATGTCTTAAGGACTCGACCAAGTTTGATGACCCTTGAATAACGAAAAACATCATTTTCTTCCGTTTCTGTTTATTAACTCTCGCAAATAGTATCCGATTGTCTTCAAATTTAGTAACAGGGTTCAACGCATTAAGGGCTCGGCCAAGTTTGACAATGACTTAATCAGACTCCATTTGGCAGAGTCATTATCTGCAGTTTCCGCTTAATATCTCTAGCAAATATTAGATAAGGCTTTTTTTTCTTCAAGTTTCAAGCTATACATTATGTCTCAACAGCACGATACTCACATGTTTAAACCTAACCTCAATAATGTTTACTTACAATATGTCCTGAAAGCGGGGGATATAAATTCTTAGAATTTGCTTGTTTACTAAGAGGTCGTATCCCCCTCCCAGCCGACCAGTCAGTGGTATATTGTGGTACCAAATTCTGTCTGTCCATTTGTATCTGTCTGTCCTAGATGCAATTGTCTCCCCTTTTCAGGGAATAATACCTCTTTTTCTTTTCAGTTAAGAACAGCATGTGAAATCCAACCAGACAGTTTTAGGCAATTTCACTTTGAATTTGGTACACAGTATCAGTATAACATGAGAATGTGCACCTCCCTTTTTCATGCAGATTTCACCCTTTTCAGGGAGTTATGCACCCTTGCTTTTCAGTTAAGGAAAGCTTGTGAAATCAACAGTTTGAGGTGGATTCACTTCAAATTTGGTAAACTGTGTTTTTATGACATGAGGGTGTGCACCTGCCTTTATCATACAGTTCCCCCCCCCCCCCCCCCCCCCCCTGTTCATGGAGTTATGCCCCTTATAGATCACTTGTAATAATTGTACTGTATTGTCAAACTGTTTAAGTCAGTCGTGAATATTATTTACAGGTGGCTTAACTGGCCCGTTGAACTTCTATCGGTCGGCAATGAAGAATTCAAGCATGTTGGTAACAAATGTCCCAAAGATTCAAAAGCCTACTTTGATTATATGGGGATGTCAGGATTTGGCCCTGTGTGAAGAGCTCCCAAGTCTGGCAAAGGACCATGTCACAAACCTCACCATCAGGTTTGTTCAGGATGCAAGCCACTGGGTGCAAATGGACACACCTGATATTGTCAACGAACACATGCAAGATTTCCTCAATGGCATTAACTAATTAGAAAGATATTGTTAACCTGTATCTTCACTTTATATAAATCAAAAATTAACTAATTTCTTTAAATTATTTTCTATATAAACAATGTATTATGTAGAAAAAGACCAAGCTATCACCTAAAACACACCAGTTGAACAGTATGACAGATTTTGTTTGATGAAGGTTTCTTTCTCATTATGAGAAAGCAAGGTACAAAAATGTATTTGTTTAGATAAAAATTTCCTTCACCAGCTGTCTGTGAGGCAGTACTATAGAACCTTGTATACGTGAACTGTCAACATTTGGTAAGCAGGGCCCAGCTGTTCAAAGTCTGGTTAGTTTATTTGTTGTAAACACAAATTTCCAATGTGTGATGTTTGAGAAATGTTCAAATATTTACAAATATATTTTGTTCATTAGAAAGGTTAAAAAGAACACCACTTGTTTTAAAGCTCAGGGTTAACATTGAGGTTGTTAATATAGGTTTTAGTAATATTTCATCACATTTATCTTATCCCAAACCTCACAAGCTTTTCCAATCTCATTGAAAGTTGTATATTTTGATCTTTAATATGATGGATTTGTTATATTAACACAGTGTAGTAGGTAATATAAATCCCACAGGTGATGTGTGCCCTGGTATCTTGTAGGGCAACCAGATGACCACTTAATAACATTTCACACAGTGCGCTACCGTGGTAGCACATTGTGTGAAATGTTGAAGATTTTGAGTACCGGAAGTACTTTATATACATACAAGTGATATACACTCTTCATAAACAGGCAAAGGATTGTCTATTGTATACATGTACGCAAGGTTTATAAGTATTCCGATCAAGGTTGATGACATCATAGATGATTCATACGTGCTAAAAGAGGTTTGACTAAGAGTGAAACCAGAAAGACATGTTTTTAAAAATCAGGATTTAATTTGTATCTGCCACTTGACTGATCTTTCGGAGCAGATTTAGGGTCTTAAAGTTTATCTATAGTGTGAAAGTTAAAACTGTGTTAATTTGTATAAATATGGTACTTAGTTAAAAGTCCCTGGTGTGTTTATTGGTGAAAATATGGTACTCACTAAGTGGATACTGTCATCCAAAGGGTCAAGAATGTAATGAATGTTATAGGGAAATGATGAGGCAGATTGAGCACTTGATTATGGAGGAGTTGTACTTGAAAGGTGTATATAATGTATACGTACATGTGTCGTCATAAGACAAGTAATTGTTCTACATGTGTCATCATAAGACAAGTAATTGTTCGTGTAACAGTTGTGTAATCATCAAATGAATTCTTTAGGTGTGTGAAATAAAAATAAAAATTCAATACACATGTAGCACTTTTTTGGCACTTCAAATGAGTTTAAAATTAAATTCTTATTATTATTTTTCATATCATCTAGAATATATTTTCTATTATTTTTTAATTTTTTAATTTGAACTTGACTCTGGATAAAACTACTGAGACCTGTTATGTAGCTAGAGATACGTTCTGATTTCAGTGTAATTTTATTGGAGTTGTAGTCTATGTCACAGTAATGAACTATGTCTAGTCCCTTGTTACTGATCAGCGAGGAAGACCATTCCCTTAAGCTCGGTCATTAAGTACTGGAGTAGTAATCTGTAGTCCCAGGATAAACTTCACACCCAGATATGCTAAAGTCAGAATAATCAGGATAAGTAAAGAAAACCCCAGAAATGTGAGTTTAGTAAGAGCCATTTCAATTAATTTTCAAAACCAGCATGACTTTTAACGTCAATTGAATTTGTGATGGGACCTATGAGTCGTTATGAGTGGAAATGGTCTAGTGACTTAGGTTTATGTTGTTGGTTAAATTATGAAACTCAAACAACAGACCTTCACCCTAGGTGTCGTTTCTAAGGACAGACTAGTATAGGTAACAAATAATTCAGCATTTAAAACCATATCATTATTATCTGTACAATGTATTATAATACTGTAAGCATACATATCTATTATCTAAGCGCTTTTTGCACTTTTAATTATTGTGCTAAATTATGACTGCACTTATAGAAGTTTCTATATATATACATCCTTTTGCATATAGTGTGTATGTGCCAAGCCATCAATGCTTAATTAATCTGTTAAAATTCAATAATGTGCTAAAAATTAAGTGCACTGAATTAAGTACATTTACAGTATTCAAACTTGAGTTTTATTTACCAAGGTGGATATTTGAAAAAGCAATCAGTTTGAAATGTTACAAGTATTAGATTATGTATGCTGTGCATGCTCAGAGTAAATTTAGATGTTGTGAATTCAGTGTAAAAAGGTCTTCATTTCACAATGGCATCAGATTTTTAAAAAAACCCATAATATGTCTATTACCTTGTTATGTTACCTACAACATGGCCAAAAAACTTAAAGGAATATCTACTATCATGACCCTGATACCTATATCCTACTTCAGGGGTCTTGACCTTGACAACTTAATCCTACTTTACAGCTCTGAATCCTAGAACTAAATTTGTTATGGACCTGTGCTTATTCTTGTCGATTGTGATATTTGTGATATTTTAGATATGGCAACTGGAGACTTATATGGACAATTGTAATAATGTTGTTTTGTAACATGTAGCTATGGCCAAAAAGATTTGGAATCAAATTTCCCGATTGCATGTATGGTAAATTTGTGGAAAATATTTAAATATATATATATCTATATGTGTGGCAAACAACATGATTGTACACACTTTATGAGTTTGTATTGTAATTCTATAACATCACATTTCATACTATGTTACTGTTGAACTTGTTAAAATTATTTTGATGTATTGTTTGTCAAGCAATCCTGTCCCGGCGTATGTTGATTTATAGACATTTATGAGTGAATTTCTATAATTTATGGCAAGTCTTTTTCTCCTAAAGTTTCTATTTTACAAAGAGTTCATATCATTTAATTCATAATCAAAAAATGTTTTATCTGCAAAAATGATTTCAGAATCTTTTAATTTAATTCATTAAACAGTGCTTGCAAAGAGAGTGTGTTGTCAGTATTTTGATTTATTAAGCCAACTACAGGTATTATCAGATTAGTGGCCAGGTGAGCTTATGCCCTGTGCAGCATTCATCGTCCAACTGGCGTCAACTTATTCCTTTTCTTTAAACAACTTCTTTTAAATAACTAAAATGGCCAGGGTGATGATAATTGGCACGTAGCATGCAGGGATTGAAGGGCTACCAAGTTTGTTCAAATGAATCACCTTCAACCATATTCAAGGTTGCATGAGTCAATTGTCTTTTAAAACATTTAAACAACTTATGAATAACCAAAATACCCAGGTTTATGATATTTAGTCAGTATCATGTAGGGATGAAGGGCTACCAAGTTTGTTCAAAAGAAATACTTCAACTGATATTCAAGGTCAAATGGGTCAACTATGTTAAAACTCAGCTTCTGAAGAACCCAAATTTGGGTGGTGATATTTGGCCAGTTAAGCCTGCTCAGATGAAGAGCTATCAAGTTTGTTCATGTGAATGACCTTAACCTACTTCCAAGGTCACATATGGTCAAATGTGTATAAACTTTTAAATAACCTTAACTCAATACACAAAATATTTAGAATAGTGATATTTGGCAAGTTGCATGACAGGATGAAGGGCTATTAAGATTGTTCTTTGCCATACCAGGCATTTTAAAATCTGTTCAGTTAAGGTTTGTTATCACTTTTTCTCAGAAGGTTTTTGAAGGATTTTCAGGCCTAGTACATGTATTGCAATCCCATTTGTCCATCATTGTCTGTCTTCCGTAAACAACTATTTCTTGCTTAATTTAATCCATAACCACTGAACTGATTCAAATGAAATTTTGCAGGACTGGGGGCCAATTTAAAGTTAGTGGTCAAACTGGCTGAAATTTCATCAATCTTCTTCTTCAAACTGAGACACAAAGGAATCAAATACTACTCATGGATGGAAAGTTCCTTGATGTGCTTTATCAAATTTGTCAATTTTACTACTCCCATGTAACCCACTCCCTCCTGGGGAGGGGAGGGGGTTAATTATAGTGTTTTGTTTATATTCAGTGGGAATTAGAACTTAAACTTGGTTGGATTATCATCATGGCCAAAAGGGGTCTAATAAGCCATAGATTCAGGAAATGTCTTCTTTAGACCCAGATATGCTGGAATCCAAAACTCTGTGTTGATGGAAAGTTTCTGACAATAACTTGGACTGCAAGGTGACTTTCTTGGATTTTGACTGTCCAACTTTGTTATTACTGTAACAGTCTGATTCTAGGGGTCTCTTTGTATAGATCACTCCAACGCTATCTTTGTTTCCATTCAGATTTATTCCGTATATATTAAACCCTAGAACAATAAATAGCATTGATATTCCGCATTTAAATATAAATAAAGCTTATACATTACAATGGAATTGTCCATATACAATAACGCAACAGGTTAACGCACCTGTCGCATGCTACTAGCTTTACACTTCACTATATAAATACTACCAAAACATTATACTGAATAACTCCGGCGTTATCACTACAATTAAATAGCCGAGCTTAACGCTTATCATACAACCAATGCGGTTCAGAGTATTTGACAAGTATCATAGTTAAAATTATACAGTTACATTAATAATAGTTTAACAACAATACAACTATTTGTACAAAATGGAATCACTTCAAAACCTACCTCTTCATAGACGAAGAGGGTCTAAATCCAGGGAGACAACCTGTACGTGAGAACGTGACCAAGTAGCCAATCTTGCGCATACAATACTACAAATAATAAAATAATGACAATTACTAAAGATGTACCAGTATCGAACGTTAACAAAAATGTTTAATACAATAGACATGATGTAAACCACTATTCAAGTTAACCAAAATCCTTGTTGATAAAAATAACGAATAGCACAAAATGGCGGGAAAGTCAAATTTCAAATAAACGTATTAATTGATTTGGACAATTTCAATTAATTTATAAAGTATATAACTTACATCAGAACTATATCAAAATGTTATCACATGTGATATAAATAATTTACAATCACTAAGATCTTATTAAAGTACTCACAATTTAATTAAATAATTAAAAATCAAAAATAGATTGACCCATGAATCTTGACAAACAGGTTTGCACAGGTGTCATTTGATATAAAGCAAAGTGTACATGTATATAGATACACTGTATAGTAAAAGAACAGCACTTAATACTCTGCTCTTAATGAAGAATTAAGTTTAAAAATAACCAGCTTTACAAGTAAAAGATATTACTGTCATTAAATAATGACACTGCTACATTACTATTTCTCAGAAAGTAATCAAGGGTTTTCCCTCATGTTACATGTTGGTTTCCATTGGTTGTGAGTTGTTTATATTCAATTTTGAGTCATGATTGCAAGAGTAAGATGAAGTTTATCACAAATTCTCAGAAATGAAGGTACAGATTTTCAAACTTCACAAGTATCTTCTTCCTATTTACTTGTTACGCATATTTCCTTTTCTACTCTCGATCAAAGAAACACGTGGCTGCCAGAAATCAGAAATCTTCTTCTTTTTCTAAATGTCACTACTCTATTCAATTAGTCAAAATACATCTTACTTCAGAATTTCAAACTTGACAGTATTATTTGTCTTTCCTTCTGTGGATCAGTTAATTTGTCTTTCCCTCTGTGGATCAGTTCACTTATCTTCCCCTCTGTGGATCAATTCATTTGTCTTTCCTCTTGTGGATCAGTTCACTTGTCTTTCCCTCTGTGGATCAGTTTGTCTTTCCCTCAGTGGATCAGTTGTTCTTTATCTCTGTGGATCAATTTGTCTTTCCCTCTATGTAACCGTTTGTCTTTCCCTCTGTGGATCAGTTTGTCTTTCCCTCTATTGATCAGTATGTCTTTCCCTCAGTGGATCAGTTGTTCTTTCCCTATGTGGATCAATTTGTCTTTCCCTCTGTGGATCAGTTCACTTGTCTTTCCCTCTGTGGATCAGTTTGTCTTCCCCTCTATGGATCAGTTTGACTTTCCCTCTATTGATCAGTATGTCTTTCCCTCTATGTACCCGTTTGTCTTTCCCTCTGTGGATCAGTTTGTCTTTCCCTCAATGGTTCAGTTTGTCTTTCCCTCTGTGGATCAGTTTGTCTTTGCCCCAGTAGATCAGTTTGTCTTTCCCTCAATGGATCAGTTTGTCTTTCCCTCTATGGATCAGTTTGCCTTTCCCTCTATGGATCAGTTTGTCTTTGCCCCAGTAGATCAGTTTGTCTTTCCCTCTATTGATCAGTTGTCTTTCCCTCTATCGATCAGTTTGTCTTTGCCCCAGTAGATCAGTTTGTCTTTCCCTCTATGGATCAGTTTGTTTTTCCCTCTGTGTATCAACTTTTCCTCAGCAGATCAGTACTGATTTTTTCAGTTTTGCACCATTATCAAATTTTCTTAGCTGCTATAAAACCCTTATCAAATCCAAATTCTGATTGGAAAAATAAGCCAAGATGTTTAGTGGGAAGATAAATGTTTAAAAGTATTTATTCAACAAAATAAAGCATTTACTCGCAGAATAATACATACTGAGTAAAACTTTATAACAGATACAATGTCAACTGTTTCAAAATAAGGAGGTGTAAGATGATTTTATCAATGAAATAAAACCTAAAATTACAAGTTTATCTAAACTATGTCACACAGCACGGTTCAATATATGAAAATTACATAAACCCGTAAAGTTGGTTGTTGAAATATAGTTTTTGTTAAATGCTTCATTAGATATTTGTACCATATAAATAATTTTAAATCAGAACACATCACAGATCAAAACTACTGTTTAAAATTGCATATAATATACATAAGGTACATGTACAGTATATAAAAGTTCCCTGAAGTGATATTTTAAAAGTAATAGTGTAGTTGTTACTTTTGTATATAATGTAAAACTAAAACTGGGTAGTTATAAATATACAGGCATCAACAGAATATACAGTCATCAACAAAATATACAGCTGGCCTCAACAGAATATACAGCTGGCATCAACAGAATATACAGCTGGCCTCAACAGAATATACATGTATAGTAAATTTGACAAAACGATGTAAAGTTAAAAATAATTCAACAATGAAAAATCACTGTAGTTGGCAAACTTATTACTGGCATTTATTGAAGTGATTTAAAATAAATAATGGATTGAAGGGACAATAATATTTTTTTCAACATGCTGCTTTGCACCGATATTGGTCCAATGCACATGTCACAAGATTTGGTATACCTAGGTCTGCTACATTTATGTAATCATTTTTTGTATGCTTGTTAAAAATTAAAAATACTTGTAATCTGTAATACTCCACCAATGTAAAAGTATGGTATCAGATAAACAAACTCCGCCCTTGTACAGTAGGTATCGGATGAACAAAGACCAACCTTGTAGAGATTGATGTTAATATAACAATCTACCCATGTACAGTTAACTCCACCCTTGTACAGTAGGTATCGGATGAACAAAGACCAACCTTGTAGAGATTCATGTCAATATAACAATCTAACCATGTACCGTTAACTCCGCCCTTGTACAGTAGGTATCAGATGAACTAAGACCAACCTTGTAGAGATTCATGTCAATATAACAATCTAACCATGTACCGTTAACTCCGCCCTTGTACAGTAGGTATCAGCTGAACAAAGACAAACCTTGTAGAGATTGATGTAAATATAACAATCTACCCATTTACAGTTAACTCCACCCTTGTACAGTAGGCATCAGATGAACAAAGACCAACCTTGTAGAAATTGATGTCAATATAACAATCTACCCGTGTACAGTTAACTCCACCCTTGGACAGTAGGTATCAGATGAACTAAGACCAACCTTGTAGAGATTCATGTCAATATAACAATCTACCCATGTACAGTTAACTCCACCCTTGTACAATAGGTATCGGATGAACAAAGACCAACCTTGTAGAGATTGATGTCAATATAACAATCTACCCATGTACAGTTAACTCCACCCGTATCGGATTAACAAAGACCAATTTTACCTTACAACTGGTAGAGAATGAGGTTAATAAAACAATCTACAGTAAACCAGTCGCTGAACTTTCTACCTGGACCCCACCCTCATAATTCCTTCCCGACTCCACTATATATCGTCTACTGGATAACTGAACTACATTGTAGTGATGCGAATGTAAAATCACTCAAAAAAACAAACCTCCTGTAAAAATCCATCCCTGAACAAATGTAACACCCCCCCCCCCTGAACCCCCTATATAAACTCATCCCTGACTACCTACAGAAAACCCTGCCTGAACTCCTTATATAAACCAATGCATGAACCCCCTATTAAAGACCCTCTCTGACCCCTTACAGAAACCCCTTCATTATGATGACCTCTAGATAAACCCCTTTCTGAGCTCCCTAATGTAATGCCCTGAACTCCCATTATAAATCCCTCCCTGTCACCTTCCTCCATATAAACCCCTCCATAAACTCTGTAAATGATTAACTGTATGTATATAAGCTGAAATATATAAAAAAATAAATATATTACAGTATTGTATTATCACAATGTACATATGTCAATTTCTAAATCTTGTGACCACAGATTGTTCACGGACAAATATTACATTTTCCACCAATGAAACGTGACTCTGAACATGGCATAACGACAGTTTTCTACTAATAGTTGACCGGGTGATCCTGGGATTTTTTCACACATGTAATTGCACTGTCCAAGGGAGTCGTGGGTTACAACAAATCCCTGCTCTTTGAGGTCAAAATTTATACAGTTCATGACGTCTTTCTCTTTGGTGGGGACATCCCATGGGCCCAGGGAAACATCAGCATGCTTGTTCTCTCGATTTTTTGGTTTGTAAGCACACACATGATTTTTATCAAAATTTGGTAATTTGTTTTTTTTTACTTTAGAAAACAATACAATGAAAATATCTGAAGTAGTATCAATGATCTTTTTGTTGGAGTCGGTGACAGTATCTATGATCTTCACCAGTACATCTTGGTAGCCAGGGAATTGTGTTCGATATGCGTCACGTTGAATTTTGGAAAGCATGCTAGGATAACGTTCCAATTGTTCTGACAATCCATGGAGTCCAAAGTAAACAGCGTCGCGGTAGACAGACTGGACGTGTTGTGCTGGCGGAAGCTCGCCATATCTTAGATAATTCAACACGTGTACAAAAGTGTCACCATCAGCATCGATGAAATATCGGCCATTTTTGTCCTTCTTGACATTATAGCTACCGCTAAACATGGCTGACAGCATAGTGCCTTCAGATTTGGTCAGGGTGAGGAGACTAGTTGTAAAATGTCTTCCACCAACATTCAACTCTACCACTGATGGAAACTGAAAACAGAGAATAACAGCAAAGTGATAATAATACACAACTTAATCTGAATTCCCCTCTGAAAATTATTGGACTTGAGCAGGGCTATATGTGATATAGGAGATTGAACAATGTCTCTGCCCTACCCTTGAAGATTTCAGGACTTGAGCAAGGCTACATTTGTATGTGCTGTAGGAGAAATTTTGTTGGAGATACTGGCTCCTTTCTCCTAAAACACTATAATAGCACTTCCCGTGATCATGTTCTTATAAAGTATACATGAGAAAATGTATATTATTTTTACTTAAGTCCTGCCGAAGTTAACTCAATCACCCCTGAAATTTCATAATGAGCTATTCCAACCTCTCAATTGGAGTGGTTCAGATGTGTTTTCAGGGCTGCACGAGTTAACATTATTATTCAAGCCCCCGTGTTTAACAAGACCCTACGTGCATATCGAATTGGAATCTAAAGCAAAATTGATATATGGGTGATTACTGCAGTATAACTTGTTTGCATTCATGTGTAACGCCCCAGTACACATACCATGTTGTGTGTGTCTGATTTCTAGGTCAGATTAACATTTTTAGACCAGACAGGTGTCCCGTGTGTAACTGGAAACTTTTCCAATCAGATCAATACAATAATCACTCAGAATCTGAAATCATCAAATATTATTTTTTATATGTAATGAGTCTTTCGTTATCAATGCATGAACGTATACAGACCTTATCAATTTCTTCAGTCATCTTGCAACGTCAGGTTGGCCTATGGTTTGTTTACAAACACGTTTGGTAGTAGTGCGCATGTGCAATGACATTGTTTGTGAAAAATTGCATAAGGCTCTCGCAGTTATTTCCCTTGGGCTATGGCAAACAAAATCCACTCTGGCATGGGAAGGAAAGGGAATGAAAATAGCCCATTTTTCCAGTCCAATTAAATAACTATTGTTACAATAATGAGAGAAACACTATATTTTAAATAGTAAAAAATGCTGTAAATAATCCAAAAAAACAAACGCATTTGTTTTTTATTATTAAAATCCAAGACTATACTTTGAGTTGAATAATCCTGAAATAGCTAACCAATATATATAATTAAGGATATACATTCTTTTATTCTAACTTTTTTTTTATTTTCTTTAATTGTGATATCTTTTAAATATCCAGTTTTCAGATCAATTTAACCCTTTGGTGATTAAAAGTACAACGTATTTAATTCTTCGTCCTCTATCTAGGTTGGCCTGGCTCTTAATTAATTCAAAACGCTCTTGATGACGATAATAGTAATTTTATCAACTCTATCATTAATGATTTATGTGACCTATTTATAAATGGCGCCAAATATGTATTTGGAACTAACCACGCTTAGCCAAATTATGTAAATAAACATATTATTAAATTAAAAAGAAAACTTGGTTTACGAGAGACTGTAAGTCTGCTCGCCAAAATTATAGAAAAGCCAAACGGTTATACAAAAAGTTTGGTAATGCTTACCTCAAAAGGAAATGTATGTAAAGGAACGGTTAAACCAAAAAATCACTTAATCGGTGTGTCATCAAGCATAAGTTAGAGATTAAAAATAAACTCCTGACACTAAGGTCAAGAAATCCAAAAGAATACTGGAAAATAATGAATACAGGTAAAATGTACGTGCAAGGCTGGTATTGAAGAATTTTTTTTTAGCTAATGTTTTAACACAAAAAAAGAAGGTGAAGATAATCATGTGTTTTCTATTGATGAGCTCACTGGGCTGTCAAAAGTGGAAGCTAATGTTTTTATAAATTAGCCAATACTGCCGAACGAAATAATCTTTCGCTGTATCTTTCTCGGTAATATACATCGTTGTAAGCTTTTTAGCTTTTGGAGATGTCTTGATTGTATTTCATTACTTATTTATAATGTCCAACCGGTTGCGCATAAAATGATAAAAGTAAATGTGTCAAAATGTTAAAGAATGATAAGGCTGTTAATTGGCGACGACATGCTATGTAACGAATATATTAAGTTAAGAAATGATTAATGATGCCATTATATGTTGAATTATTGAATTATATTTTTAACACTGGTCACGTGCCTGAGTCCTAGCTCCTGGGAAATATCATCCCCGTTTTTAAGAACAATGGTAGTTTGTATGATGCCACTATCTATCGTCCAATTACTTTGGTAAGCTGTCTATAGCTGTAATTAATGAAAAATTGAAAAAATATGCAGATAATGTAGAACTCATTCTCGAAAATCAAGTAGGATTTCGAAGAAATCACTCCACTATTGACAATATATTTTCACTTTATGCATTAATTTAATTATCTAAAAAAAAAAAAAAAAAAAACCCACCCCAATTATATTGTGCCTTTATAGATTTTGAAAAGGCTTTCGATAGTGTTTGGAGAAAAGGTATTTGGAATTATATAGGTGGAAAATGTTTTCGAATTATTACAAATGTGTACAATGGCATTAAGGCTAGAGTGATGAAAGATGACGTATTCTCGAATGTGTTCCCGTGTAGTTCTGGGATCAGGCAAGGCGATAATCTTTCCCCGTTTTTATTTTCACTTTTTTCTAAATAATTTAGAAGATTGTATGAAATGACGTGACTGTAAAGGTCTGTCTAATATAAACGACCAGCTAGAGGAGGAATTATATGTTTATCTGAAGCTAAATGTTATGCTATACGCTGATGACACTATACTACTAGTAGACGCGGCAGAGGATTTGCATATTCCAACCTATGGCACGTTACAGTCAATATCAGCAAAACTAAAATCATGGTATTTGGTAGAAAAATAATTCCTGATGACCTTAATTGTACATACAATGGTACTGTAATAGGAAAAGTTAAGGATTTCAAATATCTTGGGGTTTATTGTACTAAGACTGAGAATTCACGTCCCTGTGGTCGTATGTGTTTCCCACACCGCTGTGATATAGCAAATAATGGAGGACATATAGTCCAAGTGTTTTGTTTTGAACAGTTTTAATGGTTTTTCACATTGCAAATGATCTCAGATGGATTAAATTACAAAAAATAATCTATCGTTAACATCATTTGATTGGCTTGCATCATTTGACAGATATGTATTAAAACTACAGTACTTATATTAGTTGGAGGTAATTACAATGTACTAAGTAGGAAATACACACTATTATGTAAGTTTCTGTCTTATAATTAGAAATGAACTAATATGGTTTGAAGTAGACAGGCTACCAGCCCCTAAGTTTTTATGAAGAATATCTCGCTGCATTTTTACTACTAGCTTATCTCCCCCTAGTTTAGACCTTGTGGTCTGGTCAAATCTGGAAAAGCATTCCCCGGAATAGTGGTGAGTGCAGAAAGGTCAAGTTAGCCCATATAGCATTACTGAGATCATTCTGATTTGATTCGGTTATTAAGATGTGACTGGGATGTGGCCAGTACAAGTTTTATAACCCTGGGTTCACAGGTGGTTCCTTTACCTGTGTTCGTATGGTCTTGGCTACAAATACCAGGGCCTGGTTTTATTATGTTGGATATGTTCTGAACATGGATGAAGCTATGGCAAACCGTTTGGGTTTTCACCCATTAAACAGATATCTTCATTTATTGACAGAGAACAGATGTCCATAATTGAAAGAAAGATATCTTCATTTTAAATAGAGAATCTGTATTCATTTGTAAATGGACACATCTGTATTTAAAATACAGATATCTCTATTTGAAATGTAGATATTTGTATTTTAAATATTGACATTACAAAATTATGCATAATCTGTATTTATGTCATAATTAGAGATATCTGCATTTAAAATACAGATATCTCTATTTAAAATACAGATATATGTTATTCAAATGTGCAATAAATACATATATCTGTATTTAAATGGGTAAAATCTCCCGAACGGCTTGCCATATG